GTCGTTTGTGACACGGTATTTTTCAAATCGGTTAATGATTCTATTTGCGATTGTAATTTGTTAATTTGGTTCTCTTGTTCTTTGATTTTAGTTTTTAACGTATCTATTTCTATTATTTTTTGATCGAGTTCTTTCGTATTTAAAAGTTTTAATTTTTCATTTTCTTTTAACAGATCTTCTTCCTTTGTTTTTAATAATTTAAATTTTGAAGTTTCCTGTTCCATAATACTTTCTATACTTTTGATTTTATCCATTAAACGCTTGTTTTCTTCGTCCAGATTTAAAACCGTAGAAGCCGACAAGTTTGCAAGATGTTCGTCTAAAACAAGCTCTCCATTTTTAAGTTTATTTATCTGAAGATTTGTTAGAGTTTCATTCATATGTTTAAATGGAATGTTGTTTAAATTCGTAGCTTTTACATTTGTTAATTGTTCATTTAACTTTGTTATATGCTCTGTAAGTTCGATTTTGCTTATTTCCAAAGATTGTATATGTTTTAAATGTTCAGTTAATTCGGTAGTTTTATCATTTAATATTAGAGTTTGTTCTTCTAATTCTTTTTTTGTCTTCTGTAATTCTTCATCGTATTCTTGTAACGCTTTAGTTTGAGAATTCACTTTAGCATTTGTTTCTTGCAATTGATTTTTAATGCATTTTAATTCTTCGTTCTGTTTATTCAATTTTTCTTTATAAATGGCGACATCTTCCTGTAATTCGTTCACATCGCATAAAAGATCTTCTTTATCCTTGTCATATTCTAATACTTTTACCTCTAAGTTTTCTTTAATTTTACAAAGTTCTTCATGAGATTGTATAAGCTGAGATTGCTTTATGTTTAAACTTGCATTTTCTTCTCTAAATTGATTTACAATTGATTTTAATTCTATCAATTCAACATTCATTAATTCATTTTCAGTTTTAAGTTTTTCTAATAGATGATTTTCATCTTTTAGTGTTTTAACTTCATTTGAAAATCTTTCTATTGTTTGCGACATATTTAAATTTTCAGCTCTAAATTCGTCGAGTGCTACAGTTAAATCTTCTATTCTTTTATCGTTAAATAGTAATTTTTTATCTTGTTGCTCTTTAATATTTTTTAGTTTCTCCAATTCGATTTCTTTTATATCAATTACATTTCGTAAACTTTTTTCTAAGTTATTACTAAAAGTATTTAATTTCATAACTTCTTCCTCGTGATATTTATTAGCGTCTTGATACATTCTTTCTATTTCTTCATTTTTTTTTACATATTCTTTAATCAATTTCACTTGATCTTGAAATCTTATTTCCAAATCAGCTGATTCTGATTCTTTTTTCAATATTTTCTCATGAAGTTCATTGATTTCGGTATTATTTTTAGTATTATTGTCGTGCAAATGTACAATTTCTGATTTTAACCGTTCCAATTCTTCTTGCAATACATTACATTCGGATTTTTTACCTTCCAACATTTTTATTATATTTGTAGCATCTTCGTACTTCTTTTCAAATTCTATTATTTCTTTTTTCAAATGTTTCACTTCATCTTCTTTCTTCTTCTCCGTTAAAGCTTGCATTTCTTGTAGATCGTGTATTTTAGAATTCAAATGATCTATTTCGGTTATTAATTTGGTCATTTCAATATTATGTTTATCATGCCTTTCCAATTCGATTTGTTCTACTTTTGTTTTGTATTCATTTAGTTCACGCATTAAATCCGCTTTCTCCTGTTTAATCTTCACTAATTCTGTTTCTACTTCGATTAATTTATTAACTTGTTCTTCCGACATTTTTAATTTTTTATGAAGAATTTCAACTTCTTCTTTGAGGCCTTCTTTTTCCATCAAAGTATTTTTTAAACAGAAATTTATAATTTTATCCAAATTACTTATCTTTTCGTTGTGATCCTGAAATATTTCTTTAACGTTATTCCTCAGATACGTACAATCTTCTTTCAATTTTTCCGTATTTGTTTTAAAACATAGGAGTTCATTTTTAAAGGATATTTTTTCTTTATTAAGTAAATCTATTTTGGAATTTTTTTCATCTACTTGTTCGGTTAATTCATTGATTTTATCTTTATAATTTTTTAATTCGTTATTGAGTTCAGTTAATTCCATATCTTTGTTTTCTATCGTATTATTTAATTTAGTTATTTCATTTTCATTAGACAATTGATCGTTAAGTTTCTTTATTTCTAGATCCTTTATCGATAATTTGTTATTAGCCTTTTCTAACATTGATGCATATTCTTGCATTTTCAAATTGAAAGTTTCACATACTTGATCTCTGTCTGATAAAGCGTATCTCATATTTTCTAATTCTTTATCGAGACTTTGTACGGTCATTTGCAATTTTTCAATAGTCGTTTCAGCTTCTTTCTTTTTTTCATTGGTAATAATTGTTTGCGCGTCTTGCTCTTTCTTTAATTCAGCATATTTGATTTTTAAGTTAGAAAGTTCATTCTGGAGTTTCTCCATGTTGCATTGATATTCTTTAGAAAGTGTTTGGGTTTCTTGTAAAATTTCTTTTATTTTTTGTAATTCTTCTTCCCTTTCTGTTAGATCATGTTTCAGTTTATCCAATGTTTCATTTTCATTTAAAGTATCGCTTTTACTTTTTGAGCTACTATTACTTTCTACATTTTCTGTATAACCTGTGTATAATTTATTTAAAAATAAATTATTATATTCAGTAAAAGATAATATTAATTCTATATATATATATATATTAGAAAAATTTACCTTTCGATGTATCTTGAATATTATCTGTTTTATCAGCATCCAAATTCGGTATATTATATTGCGTTTTCAATTGTTCTAATTCCGTTTTATATTTATCAACAATTTCAGTTAGATTTTCTTTACTTTCCATAGTATGTTTCAAATCAAATTGAAGTCGTTTTATTTGTTCCTCTTTACCCTCAAGTTCTCTATGAATTGAAAGTTTATTTTCGGCCAGAGATATTACGGATTCTTCCTCACGCCTTTTTAAAGTGTTTACTTGTTCCGTTAAATTTGAAACTTCGTCCTGTGATATACTTAATTCTTTCTGCAGAACCTCTGCATTTTCTAAACTAGAAGACTTTAAAGCTTCGTAATCACGTTTTAATATATTGTTTTCCTCTAATAATTCCTTATATCTTTTCATTAAATTTTCACATCGTTTTAAAGTATTCTTATTTTTTGTTACTATCGCCTCTAATTTATTTATTTCATTTTGAAGTTTTGCATTTTCAGCTACCAATTCAGAATTATCAGTTGCATTTTCAGTTAATTCTTTATTTGGTTCCATAACTTCGACAGTACTATTATGTCCTTCGTCGTTGTCTAAAAGCATTAAATTTTCTGAAGGTGGTGTATTTCCTTGAAGAAGTTTAATCTGCAATAAGTATTTCATAATACAAGTTGTACAAAATGCTATTACGTTTTGTAAAAATATAATACAGTCTTACAAGGGGAGAGTCAAGATGACAGGAAACCAATTTTTAAAAAATTCTATACAATTGTAGGGGTCCATATTACCTATTTATATATTTTTTTAATTAAACTCTAAAAAATTTATTTCATACTGTTCACCTTGCTTTCCCCTTTGTTAATCATATTACATAAATATACTCATTTATAAATAAAAAGCAAAATTTTCTAAATATATCACCTTTGTATTTAAGGTATCTATAATATGATTTTTTTCTTCAATATCATTTCTTAATACTTCTTCTAAATGCGCTTTAGCTTGTTGTTCTAATTGACATTGTTCTTTCAAATCTCCAATTCTTCTTAACACATTATCTTGCGTTTCAACCAAAACAGATTCTAATTTTGTTTTAACTCGTTCGAGTTCTCGATAATGTTTTATCAAATCTGTGTATCGTCCACGATATTTATTATATTTTGCTTGAATTTTTTTATATGCCACATACAATTGATCTTTGGTAACTCTATCAAGTTGCGTATTAATGTCATCATCTATTTCAGTCGCAGACTGATCTACATCTGACTGCAAATAAAATAATAATATTTCCTTGAATACATTATTTGTCATTTGGTACTCTACTTTTAATAATAAATACACATGTAATATTATAAAATATTTTATAATTCTACCTGTATATGATATAGATTTTTAGGACTTTCGTACAGCGGAAATAAAGAACTGACATCACTGGTTACACTGCTTACAGATGATCTTCTAGATGCGTCTACTGAATTGGGTAGTGGTGATACAAGTTCAACATTTTGAAATGTGTTTTTTACAGAATTACTTTTGATAGTATCTATAAACATTATACGTAAACTAATTGTATTGTATAGTTATTAAAATAAATTGGTTAGCGATCATAAATCACATATACAAGTTGCCCTAGTATTTTACTTATAAAATATTGTGAAAAAATACTAGGGGACACCCTTTATATAAACAAACATGTAAAAAATACTTTTGGATTACCATTAATTTATCACATGCAATATAAAAATTCTTATAAATAATTAAAAGTGACAACATATACCATCAGTTTTTTTGGTTAAGTCATTACTTTCCACTGTTGTTGGTAATTCTTGTATTGAACTATTAGACTGAGCTGGAGATATAACTGCCTAAAAGAATAATATTATTTAATATGAATAATAATTGACATCATAAATTTAAATAGAAATATAATAAAAATGTTAACACCTGCGCCATTTGCTGCATACTCGCTTGCAACCTGGCAGGTGATTGTTTCATCTCCTCGGCAAGTTTATCTTTAAATTTTTTAAACATTTTGTATTTATTAGTATATTATATTTTTAATCAATATAATTTAATTTTCATAAATCCATCGAGGTGTTTATGTCGGATTACGTGGTTGACACTATCACCACTTCATGAGTTTAACCTAATCTGACCTGAGCTAGTGACGTTCCGAGTTTTCATTTAAACGCCATCTATTTAAAGCTGTATTCACAACTCTCTTATGCAAGTTACAATATTTGTGAGCATAGAGTAACTACATATCGAGTTTAGTATTGCCAACCTTGCGGATCAAAAACTAATTGGAATCCGTTGTTTCGAGACCAATTGTCAAAGATTTTGATAGATGCGTTTTGTCAATAAACTATTTAATAACCTGTTTTATCGCATTTTAAACAATTACGAAGAATTTTTAAGTCTCTTCGAATGGTATTATAACAATATGTGTATCGGTCCATTAAAAAAAATATGCCATTGGGGACCGCTTACTGCTTTAGGTACGTCAGTTAACATTAATAACTTATTAAGATAACATTTTTTTATTGTCATATAATAATTTATAAAGTAAACAAATAAGAAGTTATACAGAATTATATTGTTTCTAAATTATTTTATACATTAGAAATAAATGTGTCGTGGTATTTGTTAAAATGACGAAGGACTCCGCCCGTTTTATTTCAAACATACTTTTTCGCGGGGAATTCAAAAAATTATTCTATGAAAAGTAATTTAATATTGTAATATTAAAAGTAGTATATATATATATATAATATTATATAAATTAATTGAAATATATATTTCTTTTTAGGAATTATAAAAATTATCACATTAATAACAATACATTGTAGTAGACAATGGTGGCCACCTCAAGAAAGCTTTTGGGCAACAGCAAATTTTTGTTTCTTTTTTTTCTTTAGCGGATCAACTCTTTTTCACTTCATCAGTGCAATTTTTGAGGGGCCTGGATTTTTACCACTAAAATGGATGCCGGTAATATTAATTTAAATTAATTGCAAAATTCAATGAAACATTTTAATAAATTATGCATTTTCATTTCTTTTTCTTTTTCTTTTTCTTTTTAGGAAAAACCCACAGATGCTCAATTTTTACAGTATTGTACCGTTTGTCAAGGATACAAAGCACCAAGGTCTCATCATTGCAGAAAATGTAAATTCTTCGTTTATCAATAACAGAGACAATAACTTGTCACATAATAATAATCTTCTATCATTTACAGGTGATCGTTGTGTTCTGAAAATGGATCATCATTGTCCATGGATAAACAACTGTGTTGGTCATCACAATCATGGACATTTTACAGCATTTTTGGCTAGTGCAGTTGGTGGTTGTTTCATTTCCACCATCATACTAATTTCTTGGGTTGTTACTGTATTATCATTAAAACCTATACCATTTCCACCACCTTCTGTTTTTACTTTGATTTTAGTTATTTTCACCATCGGTTTATCAATCGGTGTGGTTCTTACTGTAGGAATGTTACTTTACCTTCAGGTATGTAATCAAAGTTGAAATAAGTAATTTGTAGTTCAGTATAATTATATTATTTATGTTTTTACCAGATGATGTCTATTATAAAGAACAAAACTGAAATAGAGGATTGGATATCAGAAAAAGCATATCATCGTAGATTTGGTACAGATAAAAAATTCATTCATCCATATTCCAAAGGGTGGCTATTTAATGTGAGACAAGTTCTTACATGGGATTGTTCGCCTGTAGGTGATGGTATTAATTGGCCAGTGATCGACGGCTGTGATCAATACACATTAACGGTAAAATATATAATCTTTCTTTTAATTTGTTTCGGTTTCGTATTCATATTTAAGGAAATAATGTTACCATAGAAAGAGCAATTGGCACAAAAAATGGATAAACGGAGAAGGGCACGTAGATATAGGATAATAAAACCTTCTTCTGGCTCGTGGTTACCAATTCAACATGGTTGGGGGGTATTATGTCATCCTCCTTGTACAGACGAAACACGAATTAAACTAAATGTAGCGGATATTGTGATTGTCACACGTTGGCGAAGGTATTGTTTTAGTTAAATCAAAATATAATTTTATATTTAATTTTTTGTTAATAAAATTATATTTTAAGTTGGAAGAATATCTCAAAGTTATTATTGTAGATATTGGTTATTCGGAGAAAAAGAACAAGGTGCTATAAATGATGTTCCCATAAAACGAGTACGAGGATGGTTCCCGCGACCGTGTGCAATTGAACTCATAGAAAGTAATTAATATACATGGATATCATTTAAGTCTGATTAAAAGTTTATTTTAAAATTATAGTGCATTTAGATATAAAGTGAAAAATAGAAAATAAGTAATATTATTTCTACCGTAGAATTAAAAAAAGGCAATGCTTCATGATTTTTTGATATTTGAAGAATTAGTTCATATTATTCGATTCATCTTAACAAACTCTATCATATGTTACAAGGAAAAGCAATAAAAAATAATTTTATATTAATAAATGAAACAAAAGCAGTACTATGAAAATAACTGCTTTTTTCCTAGTATTGCATGCTACTGAGAGAAAAAACTTAGAAGGTACTTTTCTCAAACTAATTCCTTTGAAAGTATTACCTTTTTTAATTGCACGGTCAAAGTACAGTAATATATGTTCAGTGGTGTATCGTTTTGTAACGTGAATATGCATCAGCCATTAATGTCATTTTAACAAACAGTATACAAGAATGTTCTGTATGTATTTATATTAAGATTTCATAACTCATATAATGAGTAATTGCGTAAAATCTAAAATAATCTAACTCAGGTTTGAAGCACTTTATATATTATAATTAAATAACAAACAAATTCTGAGGTTCAATATTTTAAAATAGTCAAAAATGAATTTATAATAGTAAATTATTATTTATATTTTTAAAAAGATTACAAACAATGAGAATTTGTAATATAAAAAAAGTCATGGTAAAATTGTCTTTCTGTATATAAGAAAGTATATCTAATTAATATGTCTCATCATACTTTTAGTTTAGCCATAACGTGAGCTGGTATTATTACGTATGATCACTAATTCCTATGACAATAAAATATAAGATATATTCTTAGAATGTGAACTGTAAACACTGTTCTCAGGGATGTGTTTTCCATGTAGAAATTAAATAGTTTTGATCACTAATCTGAACAAATGAACAAATGTTAATGTAATAATAATTCTAAACTATTACATCAGACACGTTAAATTCCATTTATTTGTATTTTTATACATTAGTACAACATAACGATTTTCAGTCTGTGATATTTTTGCTATTACTTTTTATATTTGTATTGAATTAAATGACAAATATGTAGATTTGAAAAATATTCTTATGTTGCTGGTGTGTAAAATTAACATTTTTATGTTAAACTTAGTACATACCAACACCTACATATATTTAATTTACATAGATAGATAAAAACAGTACGATAATCTAATTTCACACAGAATGATTTAAAGAAGTTCATTTTATGTGACATTATTACAAATCATATCAATTATAATTGTAATCTGTCAATATGTACAATAAGATTTATTATATACGTCTGATATTCTTTATGTAATTATTTTCTATTAAATTATGAAATACACATACACTCACTTTAAAAGTAGTATAATATAAAAGAGGACCATATGATATGTGAATAATTTGTACAATTGTATTAACATGAAGTTCATGTTATGATAAAAATAGAGTATTCAAAAACCTGTATGAAGTTAATTGTTGTAATTTCATTATATGATTTTTTTATTATAAATAATTAGAGTATTATATTTTTTTTCTATAAGTACTCTTATATAATGTATTATGTTAAATTTTTTTCGGAAGGATATTATTTACGTAATACAACAACAAATAGACACATTGAAAAGGCATCTATATATGTAAGTATGTCAATAACATAGCACGACAATCAAACCATCGGACGAATCGTGTAACGATTGGTATGTAAATATAAAACCCACGTCACACCGAGTGTGGCATTCAACAGTGAAAGGGCCGGATTAGCTTTTGCGATTAGAGAACTCTGCTTGAATGCGTTATTCAAATATTCGAATTACTGCTAAAATATATTTAATGGAAAATGTATATTTTACCTATAGCCTCGCACATAGTTGCTTTAGAAGAAGTAGAGAAACAACAAATCAATATTGATTTATTAATAAAATTATAATATTTTTGGTTTTCATTTCAAGATATGAATTTCAAATTACAGTATTATTAAAATTGTATAGGCCCACCATGTAGTTATTCCATATACGTGCTAAAAATAAATTATTAATTTTTCAATTCGGTAAAAAAACTTTTAGGACACTCTGTATATAAGATCAAGAATATTATGCAAATCATGTGACATAACACATAGGACCCTATTTTTTAAACTACTCATTTAATTAATTTTTTTTCATTCAATTTCGACAAATTTATTCTGGATGCATATCATCAATGAAACAGATAGTTCGGTTATCGGAAAAATCATTTATTTATATTTTGGAAGATGAGATAGGAAAAAAATGATAAAAACAATAGTATAAATAAATGATAAACATATTACAAAGGAACTTTTTGGTATAATTTAATGAACAAGAAAATGAAACGATGAAATCAAATTAAAAGAGTAAAGAAGGGTCGAGTGAAAGTAATAATTCGCAAAAGCGAATTAAAAGCAACTTTGCCTTTGACTGGTGGGATTTCATTGACATTTGACTTACTCGCCAGAGATCGGTCATTGCAGTTTCTTTCGTGCACCTATCTAAGGAGGACCAACGAAATCAAGTGAAAGCGAGCGTTCAAATTTTTCTTTTCGATTTAAAAGTAATTAAAAAGTAAACGTCTTTAATCATTTTAAATCGATAAACGTGTTATAGTTTTTGAAATCTTCTATTTCTATTAATAATATAAAAAGATTATCTCTACTTTTCATGTCTAATTAATTTTAATCGTTTGCAAAGGATACAAGGATCTTCCAAAAATGAGTTTCATTAGGAATTGTCTATTCACGACATCAGCGATCGTTCTTTCTTCGATTTTCGTTTCCGGTTTTCCTGATGGTGCACCAGTAGATGCGTGTGTCAAACCACGACCTAATCAACCCTATCACGGGGATGCAAGAAGTCAACCTTCGAATAAAAGCCCCTATACATTAATAGCTTCATCGTCAGAATACGTTCCAGGAGCACAAATTACCGGTACGTAATAAACGTGATTCGATTGTCCAGTGTACAAAATTCGGAGCATAATACTTTCATATTTTGTTATATTCATTATTAAAATTATAATTATTTGATCAATGTTTACGATGAATCAAAAATTTACTCTTTACGCAAACAAATCTTTAAATCCATTTAATAAGAAATTTGACAAAATAATTGACGAAGTTGTCTTTAGAAATATGAGAAGCTCGTTTTATCTTACAACAGATAAGAGTTTCCAACTTTCTACATAAAAGGAATATTTTAGAAAAGGAAGATAAAGCGAACGTTATTTTTGGTCCATTGTGCTCTTAACTACTTGCATTAGCGAGTTTGCTAATCGATTTTAAGGAACATGATAGCAAGTAGCATTTATTTATTAATTATTTTATATGTGGGAAAACATACAACGTTGACATTTCTCTCTTCATCTTACGCGACAGTTGACTTTGCATTTTTCAATTACAATTTCAATTATATTTCACTTGGAATAATTATTTTCATGATATAATATTTTGTTTAAAAATGTACTATAGTAGATTATTATTGTAATAATTTCGTCATACTTTCATCAAATTTTTCTTTTGATTGTAGTAACCATTAGTGGTTCAGCTTTCAAAGGATTCTTCTTACAAGCACGCGATAGTAATACCCACGCATGGATTGGTTCTTGGGCACAAACACCGAATACAAACACCCATCCTGAATGTAGTGCTGTTACGCACGCAGATCCACGTGAGAAACAACAAGCCACTCTTATTTGGAATGCACCACCGAATACTCGAGGTCAAGTTTATTTCACGTGAGTATTTCGTATAAATAAAAAAACAATTCTCTTACCTCAATGGGAAAAACAAAATGTTAAGAATTTAAACTATACCGAAAAAAAAGAATTACAAGTTGACTGGTTAATTAATGAAGATTTATATAAAATCTCTAAAGCTCGTGAGATTACGTTCTCTCGTTCGATTATTTTTCCACAAAGTATTTTGTTCATTGTTAAAAGTAACTCAAAAAATTGAATAAGATTATGTCCGAACACTATAAGCCAGATTAACTCTCAACAAAAGATCATTTTCTATGACTGAATTTTCTATTAGCTTCTTATTATAATACACAAGATAATATTCAATAAAAAAGTTAGAATATTAATTTGAATTTAAGAAAAATGGAAATGTTATAGAAACCAAAATTTGTTTTTAACCGAAAGAATAATAAATTGTTTTTTTCTTAAAGATGATATATTTTTGGAACTTAAAACGTGGATAATTTTGAAATTCGATGATAGAAATAAATTTGAATACAAAGTAAAGGAAAATATTTTATTTACGCGTATTATTTACGCGTATAGAGTAACAATTCATTAGAATTCCTGAGTGAAAAGTTTGCCGGCACAGCAAGTAGCAATGTCTATGTATATAGAAGCAGTTGCCAGTAGCTAGATTTAACTTTGGAAGATACAGGCTTGTAAATAGTAGTAACAACGAATATAATCAGACGCAATAGATAAGTACGATTGATGATGTTTCCATTCTTTGTGATGAAACATTTTACCCATCTGTTTAAAAATTGAAATATAAAGACTCGTGATTTTAGAGACAAGTTAAATTGTTTCATATTTCTTCGGATGATTAATATATTACTTATCAAAGAAACATAAGTAAAGATGAACGTTAGTTCCACTTCATCTCCTGCTCGTGTTTAAAGATCTTACGGTAACATTGTACACGTGTGTATATAAAAGCGTTTAGAAAGTCTATACTATACACGTACGTATGATTAACATACCAACAACACTACGACATATACAGATTGAGTTAACGCAATAATGTGATTACGAGAGATTGTGAAATTCCTTTCTCTTTTTCTCTTTCTTTTTATTTTTTGGTTGCTTCAAATTAATTTTCTTATTTTGGTAATTATATCATATCATTTTTCATTAGAGTCATTCATATTGTTAATTTGGGTAATAAAAAATCGTAAAATTGATAATATTATAAACCAACGTGATGTCAACGTGAACATTGTAATTATAATTATCGACGTAATACATTGATATCTATGTTACATATATGTTACTCGTATTGTATGGTACTCGTCACTGAAAATAATTAATCTTACTACACGAATGATCATAAATAGAGGTAATAACGCACGTTTACTGCTTCGATTACGCTTCGCTAAACTTACGAACGGTCCTGCGAATTTGCATTCTATACTACAAATTTTACTCGGTGGACTGAAAAATATCAGTTGAGTTATTTCGTCCGTAAAAAGAAGATCACATGAGGTACAATATTTTCAATTCGATAAAAGTATTATTATTTATCTATTGAGTCAATGAAAATACTTAATGAATAATCTAAATCATAAATAATATAAAATATATATATACATAACTGCTAGTAATTATGAAAATAGAATAAGTAAAAAGAAAATTAATCCATTATCATAATTACTGGCACATATAAAAAACTACACTCTTCTATGTTTTATCTAACTCAATTTTTTGTTTTCAGTGGTACCGTTTTAAAAGAATATGCATTATTTTGGTCGGATTTAGTTGCACGAGTGGCTTAATGAAATAAAAGAAGAAATACGAAACTAAAAATTCAATGCAAGTATAATGTATTATACATATTCGTAAAAATAAATCATAATTTATAATTTGTTTAGTAAAGCTTCCACATTAATAATTCTTCTTTTTTTCAGGAGTTACCAAACAGAGATGCTCGTATTTTAATATTCTCTTATGTCCAAATAAAATAGATATAATCTTCATGTCGAATGAAACATTCACTTGAAAACAATCGACATTAAAATCAATCGATATTTATCGATGTACTCTACCACGCACTGTTTTATTCAATTCTTTAATTCACTAATGGTTTTAATAAAAGAACAAAAAAATATTAAAATGTTCATCAACAGTAAGTATTATTTACCTATATCATTATTATCATCATTATCATCGTCATAATCTCGTTACAATGTTATATAAAATCCATTAAATTTTTCCTAAAACACGCAGCATCGATAAACAATGTATAAGACATACATAAGTAATTATTTGTCGATAAACAAAGTTGTGTAAGAATTGATCGATTAAATGGTGCAATTTATTATCGACGAAATGTTTGCTTCTGGCAATTCAACTACAAGATGTAACGTGATTTTTGTTGGAAAAAAATGTTGTAATGTTTATCACTTCGAACTCAATAGGAAAAAGTAAAACCAAAAAAAAAAAATATAGCCTGAGGGATACGACTACGATATATGGGAAAGATATTTTCGACTCGTTCGTTACTGTTAGCAATTGCACAACGATCTAACGAGGAAGGTAATTCTAGTTTGACTTCTTTCGCATTAACGCACAAAACTCGTTGGACTCGTGCTGCGAATTGGATCGGCTAAAATGAATTTATTGTTATTAACTTGTCGAAAAAAGGATTTTGCTGTTCAGTTCCCCTACTAATAAAGAAATCGAGGAGGAGGAGGGTGCTTATTGCGTAAGATCTCAGCGGCAAGTAAAAGTGTGTCCTACTTCAAATAAAGAGAAAGAAAAAAGAAAAGAAAGAGAGAGAGAGAGAGAGAAAGAGAGAGTGAGCAAAAAAAAAACAAGAACCATGACGTTAAAAACTAGTCCTTCCCTTTTAGGTAGCAACGAATTCCCGAAAGTGTTTTCTCATTTTTCTAATACGAACACGACATTACTTTTCTGTTCGATTTACAATAGTTAAATGGCTATAACGTGTCATGACATTTTATCACGGACGGTATTCATTGCAAGGGAGATCATTGATAGGCAAGATTACAATCGATCGTTGAAGAAATCGATGTTAAACGAAACCCTTGATTTTAGATAATTCATTCTTCCTTTTCCACGGGAGAGTGAAGGAAAGGTTATACTTTACATTGATAATGTATACATACTAAAAATAACGAACGATTAAAAATACATTGTTTTTTCTTACATCTGTTATATATAGGAGAAAGAATAAGATATAGAAATCATTTTCAACGGGTGCCAAAAGAGGAGAATAATGAACGAACGGCCAAGGTTTCGGATAAATTGTAAGAGCGCGAGCGCGCGCGTATACACGAAAGAGAGAGAAAGAGAGGGAGAGATGGAAAAAGTAGATCGATTTGAAAGAAATTTGGAAGAAACGCTTGGTGCGAACTGGTGTCATCTTGTTCATGAACGATGAAATAAGTCAAAGGGTTTATAGAAAAGTTAAAGGCCAGATGGTGGGTGGTTTAGGAAGGGTCGAAGAAGTGGAAAGGAAGGTCGGCGATGGTAGGTTGGTAGAAGGGGGGTAGAAAAAACAGCAGCACCGCCATATCTATAAACGTGTTCGTCGCAGAGAAGTACGAAAAGGGATTGGATTCAGGGTTGTATTGCGCAGGACGCCGGCGCCCCGGCATCATCGCGACGTCGCCCACCCCTTTTAGGTTTAGTAGTAGTAGTGGTGGCGATGATGGTGGTCGTTGGCTAGAGTTGCATGCGCTTTACACGTTCACACACATCGACACATGAGTCGGTGTCGTTTAGTCGCGCTACTCGAGCATACAACAGCATTGGCGCATACACGTGAGACTTCTTGGCGGGTAGTCGTTGAATCTTCGGCTAGATAAAGGAAGAATGTGGAATAACAAGAGGAACAATAGAAACAGATAATTACTTTATCGCGTTCTCCACCAAAATTTCACTCTTCTTCTCGTTTTTTTTCTTTTTTCCCCCATTTAGCATAGGGGAGTAACGTATTCAAGGAGAACTAGAAGAAAGGCAAAAGAAGGAATAAAGTAACGAAGAAGAAGACTCGAAGGAACAACAAAAGGAAGAAGAAAGGATTGATTAGTGGTGGGGGGGAGAAGGGTGGTAGGGAAGAAAATATAACGACAAGTACGCGGTGGTAGGATTTTCGTTCGGAGTCGTACTTGTCAGTCGGCTCTCGCGGCGTTAGCTAGGAAGAATGCGCATGATCGATCGCACGCGTTCTGATCGGTCGGAGATGTGATACCGGAAGTAGATACGGCGGTCTTAACCTGCATCGCGTGCAGGTGCGGCCGCGAGTGCGTGCTACGAGAAACGTGTAGGGTGCGAGGGCGTGTGAGTACCAAAGCCTTTCGAAACAAGTAAGAAAAGTACGTTGAGAGGGAGAGAGAGGGAGAGAAAGAGAGAGAGAGAGAGAGAGAGAGAGAGAGAGAGAGAGAAAGGACGAGTGTATGAGAGAGCGTGTGTGGATGTGAGTGAGTGAGTGTGTATGCGTGTGCGTGTGAGTGCTCGTGTACATGAGAGGGAGAGAGTTCTGCGTAAAGTGTCACTGTTGAAGGGTAGAAAGAAAAAAAGGGGGTGACAAAGGAAAGAGAAAGAGATGACAATACGTTCGAGCATTGGTAAAACGTCGTCGCCGGCTCGCTTGGCGACGACGCCGATCTTTTTTTTTCCGTCCTACGTCAAGATGTGGAATTTAAGTATGCACCTGATCTGCGCCATCGCCTTCTGTTTCTTAATCGCTCTCGACCGGCCTGCCTTTGGCCAGCCAGATCCACCTGAATCGATCACCATCGAAAGTGAGTTCATATTTTTTCATCCTCCACCCCGACAACCTTCTCTTATATCTCATACTTAATCTTTACGGTCTCTTTAATACTATGAAGTTCATGAGAACATTTTTTATTCTGATATTTTATTTATAAAAATTGTCTAAAGTTTATTTCACCTATGTATATATGACGTAACGTTTCGTCATAATTTTGAATTAACGTTTACCACACAAAAATTGCGAAGAAATAAAAAATTCATTTAATATCGTACAGATTTTGTTCGTAACACTTATTTTCTTTTCTTCTTTACCTTTTTATTTGTTCTTTTATGTACCGCACGATTTGAAAGATTCACTAGGGTCAACACGAAGTAGCTTTTAGCCCCGTTGACACGAAACCCATCAGAATCTTTCGAAGATAGTATAAATATATGATAGATCGCGATATTATACCCCAATTTTTGATTTACGATCGCTTTGTTTTATTGTGCTGATAGAGACACGATTTTGTTGGCTCGTAGAATGAAATAAATCAAATCGTGAAACACATTTGTAAGTATGGGTAAAACAACACGCAGCAAGGGTTACACTCGGCAGGTTTTTCTTTTTTTTTTTTTTTTGATTGATTTACGTGCGAAAACAACGTATGTATATCCCCACGAAAACGGGGTCGTGCTTTTATTCTTACCTGTAACAGTTTTATATTTTCGTGCATATAAACAATAATAGAAAAAGAATGTTACTTACTATCCTTTGACATACTTTATTTTGTTCTTTTTGATTCTTTATAATTATTCAAATTATATTCTACCCTACTTTTCTGTTTGTTCTTTTCGATGAATAGAAAAATTAAATTTATATTAAATTCAAACATTTATATATTTATTAAAACGAATGATTCTTTAGGTTTGACATTTATTCGTTGACGTTTCTCTCTTTAGATGTTAAAAATCTTGACATCCATTTTACAATTAAATGTATTTTGAGTGGACTTCAACAGGAATTACTTTAAATAACGGAAAGCCATTCGTTTAAATTTACTTTGATATTGTATTACTCGTGAAAGTTTGTCTTCGTTAGTGGCGACTTAACTCTGAACGTCAATTTATACAAATAGAGATATATCCATTGAATGCTTTGAACGATAGATAGATAGATAGATAGATAGATAGATAGATAGATAGATAGATAGATAGATAGATAGATAGATAGATAGATAGATAGATAGATAGATATCTATTTCGTTTGTACATGTAATTCTTGAAATACGATATTTTGTCTCCTTGCATTGTACTATTTTCATATCGACAATGGCTTTATGCCAAATACATGATAAACATAAACCCTTTGTACAGCATAACTCGAGTAGGTGTACATAAGTTGAAACAAGGGTAGCTAGCAGGTAGGAAAACCCTATATAATGGTATAACTTTTGTAAAGTGCATAAATGAATTAGTAGTCGATAGTAGCGAGCAATGTATGTCGCGAATTTCTCTAAGGAATTGCAATCTGCATCATAAGTTATTTTTTTTTCTTTTTTTTTTTTAAAAAGAGCACTCGTTGTAACTTTATTACATACTTCATATTACTTGGAAAACCCTTTTTGCAGCGTGTCAAAGTGTAATTTTCTTCAATTTAAAAATAAAAATATGTTTAACAGAGTTTACATCATAACTTTATTAAACGAAATATTTCTTTTGATCTCATTGGAGAAAAATACTTAGGAAAAAAAAATTACCCTACTTTTGAGAAGTTTATTTTTAAAATGAAATTCTAGGCTTTTTCTTTTTCTTATTTCTCGCAAAGTTCTAAATAAAAATAGTATTGGAATGCAATGGTTGGAAAATGATCAGTTCGCTAGATACTGTTACGAGGTATTTTTTCATAAAATAAAAAATACCTAGTGATATACCTAGTATAGATATTCATCAAAACTTTGTTAACTTAAAATAACATCGTCTTTTACAAATCTCAAGTATAATTTAACAACATTCAATCTTGAAACTTTTCTAATAAATCGTAATTACTGTCAAAACGTTTTATTCCTCTTATTGAGATTCCTTTGAAATGAATAAACCGAACAATGTGCAATCAAAGCAAAACAATAGTTTATTAATCGACAAAAAAAATGATAGGATATAACAAAGCTTTCGAATATGTTAATTAAATTATTTGACGTAATAATTATAAGAACAAATGTTAATTTGTCAAAAAGATAAAAAGTACACTTTCAATTATAATAATTTATAAGCTAATATGTTCTTGTTCTCTAACATTTTAATACTTTTAATAAGAAGTGGTATATTTTCGATGACTCACTCGAAATGTCGCGATACGTGGCCACGAATTTCCCTTCTATCAAATTAGATCCGTGTAATTTTCGTAATGCTTGTGCGTGTTAGAATTGCCTTGGCGAGGACCTCTACTTGCCGACTTTGTTTCGTGTCTCTACAGTCGCTGAATGATCGATAAAAGAAATATTGTATTATATGAACTCGTGTGCTATGCTTTGTTCGTGCCTGTAAATTTTTCTTCTACAACGTAAATATGAAATAACCCTTTTGCGCTGCTACTGATCAGATAGTTTTATCGATTGTTTATACATACATTTTTTTTTTTTTTTTACAGTAAAGATCTTTCTTTCTTTTCCATACTATCCGATCGATTTCGCATCGAACTATGTTTTCCCTTTTTTTATTTCCTTTTTCCTTTCCCTTCCTACTTTTCACGAGACTATTAATTTCATTTAATTGATATGTAGACGTGTGTCAAAAGAAAATATGAAACAACAAACTCCTTGGAATACATTTTTTTTAATTAACGGTGTACATATATATGTATAGGTTTGAAAAAAAAATTACACGTAAGTTTGTCTAGTTCTTTTATCAAACGATACATGATAATAATTAGAACACGCCCTAAGGCAAAATAAATATCACGTGTATTTGCGCATTCATCCCTTTGTCGAGTAACTGGCAGGTTTTTTCCATTGTACGTAGACATAAGTATTACTAGTTACTACGTTTATGTTAAATAATTATTCGAGGATTAATTATTCTATACGTTTCTGTGTTTTTTTATAATTAAAATTAATTAATTAAAAAATCATAATTAAAATAGAACATATTATATTTACATATATATTACGGTAGAAAATATATTTATCATTTTTTAATGGACAATGGAGTCTTGTTAAAAAAAAAAAAGTTAAAATAATATATCGATCAATATTTAAACAAAATATTTCTATATACGTATTCTTGTACAGACTAGAACGTAAATAATTTTGCTATAAAAGTAAACGATGTTTTTCAAGCTGACAGTATTAATCGTCGATTGCACTCAACTTCATATAATAAATTTCCAATAATAATATATTATAAGCGATAGGAAAAAGAAAATTAAACAAATGTGTTTTATAATAACAAAAATGATTAGAATTTTAAAAAGGGTTATCATAATCCTTCTTATGTCTTCTTTTGTTTAAACCTTTTATCTTAATAAAGTATCCAATAGTATTAACAAGCAAAGAACTTTGTTCTACTTTTTTAAAAAGTCTTCGATAAGAATATTAATGAGTTGTTTCCTATGACTAATTTAGAAAAAAAATTCTTTATTTTTATTTAACTTACTTTTCATTATTCTCTTTTTTATTTTTTCTTGTTTTTTTTTTTTTGTTGAAATTTACTTTTCGTAACAAATTTTATCCATCCGTTGTTGCATATTTTTTCGTTTGGGTGAACATATAAAAAAATTAATTTTACTTTACGCCAAGTAGATTGCATTACTTTGGTATTTTATTTTTTATCAAGTGTTTTCTTTTGTTCTCGTTATTAGAAAGTAGGGAGTGAATGAACGGTCGATGTGCACAATGCACATTCAACATAATGTTACTGCAGTCCTGCACTGCGGATTCACGTGTGCCTAACTTTTTCTAAACCCTTCAAATGGTTCAAACTCAAAGAAACGTTTCTCCTACTTCTCCTTTCCAAATTTTCCTACGTGTATTCATTTCCAAGTAATGTCTACTACAATTGTTATTTTGAATATTTCACTTAGACGAAACAAATTATTATACAATTTAATGACATGGTTACACGTGAATATTAATTAAGGTATACTCTTTGATATAATTAAATTAACGTTTCCGAAGTAATCGATAATACAACATATAGGAAATTCATTAACCGTATACATTTCAAATTATTATTCCTCGTCTAACGAGAATTGACGTTTTTTGAAAATAGAAATTTCAAATTTAATTACGTTGATTGGTTTATACATATTCCATGATACAAACAAAACAAAAATGTCCAGATCGATATTTCGATATCCATTTTTTTTCTTTATTTTCATCATTTTAATATTATCAAAGATAGAAATAAAAATTTTTTAGTTAAAGTTAAAATATTGATATTAAAAGAAACAAAAAAAAATTCAAACGAGAGAAAAGATTTTATCTCATCGAAAAGTTGCACGACTATCTGTTGCTTGAAAATTCTCAATAGGCCAATCGTTTTAAAGTAGAAATATTCGGTATTAAAGTAGAAATATCCGGTATTAAAGTCTTCCCTATTCCTAATGATTACAAATATTATTCTCTCTGTTATTACACATGCAAACAATATGACGATTGCATTCGGATTAATTTTATTTATATAGTATTCTCTATTTGAATCGTTCGAAAAAATATCGTCACGGTTCATCTTGAAATAGAAAAAAAAAAACAGACACAAACACACATACAACCTAGGTCATTTGCAGTATACGTATCTACATCGTTGGCAGTATTTTATAACGTGACGTGCGATAGTACTTTGCGAAAAAAAGAGCTCTTTCGAGAAGGAAAATATTTGCTCTGTAATCGTCCGTTGGTGATGCTCAATGCATATATAGGCCTCGTACAGAACACTGAGAACTTCATTCAAAAAAAAAAAAAAAAAAAAGTACTTTTGTCAGAATAATACATATATGTAATACAGTCCTCGTAAAAACGTACGAATTTCAGCACACGCTTGAAATTTCATTTAGATAATAGAAATTTCGAATTAATTGTATCCTATCGATTCCATCAAAATTTAATTGTAGGATCCGTTAAACGACGCATCGGAGTTGAATTCCGCAAACACACACACACACACACACACGCATGTCTATGTATTAACTCGTATCATCGTCGTCGTCGTCGTTCACCTTTAATTAGAATCCATTCGTGTGCAATACCGTTAATCCGTAGAAACTCAAACGAACCAAATGATTCTCATATTACAGTTCTGAATCTAAACACTTTTATATTGATAGAAAAAACTACTTTCCATTGTTTACATTCGAGAGTAGGGCTATTAAATGTCGACAATAGCCATTTCCCATTTTTTGTTTGTTTGTCCTCTTACTAAAATCCGAGAAATGACTTTTCCATGTTGCATTATTTATCGTATATAACTAATCTGGTACTTCGAATCAAGTATTATATATATACATCTATATACATTTAAACAAAGAGATAGATATATCTATATACTTTTATATCTACCATTAAAAAATATCTGTGTCAACGAGGACACAGTTCTGTTTCTGGCCATTTTGAGAAAAAGATTTGACGATATGATACAAAAAAAAATCAAATGGAGAAAAAGGTTGAAAGAGAGAGAGAGAGAGAGAGAGTGAGAGAAAAGGTGAAAAAAAACAAAGGGTGGTAGTGTTGTAATCGGGGATCGGGTTGCGTGCCGTGAAAACGACGATTTCTTGCGATAGCTCGTAGTAGTAGTTGCATGCAATATTTTCTACCAACCAAGCGTACTTTTTATCATTACCGTTATTACGCGTCCTTCTCATATGCATCAGCTAGGTGACTGAGTGCACCAGTTTTGCGTTCATTCGGATAAATTGTTCAGAAAAATCGATCGATTAATTATTTCAACTTATCGTTGTTTCTATTTAGTTCGAAGTAACTACCCTTTCGTATAAAATAAAAACTTTTTTTCTTTTTTTATTAGTTTATGAACAATATTTTCTAGAGATGGGGGAAGATGAAAAGAACAAATTAAGTTGTACTCGTCAACGAACTTCTCGAAAGTTTAATTGCGTTGAAACTGGGATTGTAAATTCATTGAGCCGTTAAATGGCATTCCCACAAAGGCATCCAATACATAGCACCCTATTGGTACGTGCCAACTCTGAGAAAATGGGCATTCGATGCTCCTTTTCATTTGAATACCTTTGCTCTCCTAGGAGTCATAACTTGCACACCAAACGTCTCTAACAGAAACGTTATGGCCGCAAAGGACTCTAATTTCACGATTCCACTTATTTTCGATAAATATCTTCTTCCCTTTAGTCAGAGGAAAAAGAATTTTTCTTACATTTATATCATTTCACGATGTATGATTCTCCTCACAAGTGTTTTTTATCTCAAAAAAATATGAATCAATGAACAATTTTATCTAAAAAGATTATCATTTAATAAAAATAATAATTCACAACAACATTGTTAGCGGGAAGAATAATGTAAAAGAATAATGTCAAAAAAAAATAAAATAAAAAAAAAAATGTCAAGCGTTCAATGAAGAATTAGCAGGACTAACATCGAGCTTGTTTTTCGCGTGTTAGTCAACTATAAAGATATCAAACTTCGAATAGATATCTACCTTCGTTATCACGTGATCTACGAATATTTATGTAGGACCGTTTAATATTTCCTTCTCATGCGGTATACTATCTCCTTTCTCTCTTCCTCTTTTTCTCTTGATTGATTTTGACTATGTAAAGAAAACAAAACATAATTTTATATTATTCATAATCTCTTTCGTTTTCATAAAAATAAATCTAAATTTGTATATATAAAAGTAGATTTATTAATCATTTCAACGTAATAAATTTCTGTAGAACATTTGTCAAAAAAAGAAAAGAAATAATTTATAAAATAAAAATTGATCGAACGAAGAATTCCACGTGCGTGGGTTTAACGCACGAAGCTTGCAGACAAATAGACAGACAGGCAGACAGACAGGCAGACAGACAGACTCATTCGCGTTCATTGAAGGTAGTTTCGAAGGTGAGCTTTTCACATACTGCGGCAGGAACAGAAACGACTCGTGCTAGAGAGAGCATTGGCAACATGCCATACCCCCCACGAAATGACCCACTTTTAACGCCTAGTAGATTGACCCGCGCACGTCGCTATTTTTTACTTCTACTTACGGGATCCTACCTTCGCGATAACTATCTCTATAATGTTCTCTCTTCTTTCCTCTCTTTCTTCCTTTCTTTCTTTCTCTTTCTTCCTTTCTTTCTTTGAATAGTACAAACAAAAGACTCAAGACTAATCAACGGAACAGTTTAAAACACAATTCTTTCTAATCGTTCCTTTTAAACGTTTCTTACGTGAGTAACATTGTATCAACTATTTCGAATTTCCTGAACTAGTATTTATAGAATTTATTTTATTATTTATAATTCGAGTAATTGCACCTAATTTTTAAAAACCAACGATTAAATATTTTATGAATTTTTTTATTTTAATTATAATAGCAATTCGTATCATGTTACATTAATATAAATTATTATATTGTAAAAAAGTATTTACCAAATGTGAAATGAACAATCTATTAATATTTGATGCAATACCTTTTTATAAAACCAATGTGCTAATATCGATTATAAGTTGAAATTAATGACGTAAGCGTATTTTATTTTAAAATAATGTTTTTTTCACAGATTACTAATTAATTTCGCAATAATGCGCGAACTGCGACTATCGATTTTCTCTGAGACCTTAGTTCCGTGTGTACACGAAAGTCGGCCTTACCTGAGTCATGTATGAGAAGACGAGATTCATGTTTGACTACCATTCGAGTACAACTTTTATACATTCAAGTTAAAAGCGTTACAATTAGTTGATACTCTCTTGTAACAATTACTATTAGATTTAATCGATCAACACGCAACGACAGTTTTATTGACAAATTTCTAAAGTAACAAATTGTATCGTAAAACATTTTCTATTTCAATCTCGTTTTCTGCAAGATTGTGACTTTTGTTTTTACTTTGAGACCCAAAAAATAATTGTTAAATCGCGTGACATCTTTAAATTAGCTAAAATCAATTTTAAACTTAACCAATGTAAAATAATTAAAGAAATATATCAAAATTATTCGTTGATCGATTTGAGTTGATAGTTTTGAGGCCAAGCTTTTCTTTATTTCCAAAGAGTAAGAGAAGATTCCAGGTTGGTGGTTAAAAATGAGAGTCAAGTGAGGTTTGAGCTTGAGTCTTCTTCGGTAAAAAAAGATTCTAGGAAGTAGGACATCGTGAAACTGAAAGCCGAGCAGATTGTAAATAAAGTCGTAGTAGGGTCGATAGTTTCGTTGACTAAGGTTGGCCCTTTATTCGAAAGGAAATTTTACAGATTTGTGCTTAGTGGACCTTTCGCTTATATTTATCTATTAATCTAAACGATAGACGGATAATTTAAACGTTCAACGAAATACCGATCATCACTGAACATAGTTGCAACACAAGGATATTTATAATAAAGTTATTTTTAAATCAGCCAGCGTTGAAAGACGGCTGATTATCGAGCACCAATCTATGAAAAATGCAATATACCCATATGGATTAAAATAGTCCTTTTAAGATAGAAATAAAGTATGGAAATATTTCCATTTAAAAATTGTCTCTCTTTTAATGAAATCAAAAAGTTTGAATCAGTCGCATTAAATTACATGAAAACAATTCTACAATTTTCTATAGCTAAAGCAACATTATTATTTCTCATAATAAAATTCTTTTGCACGCCATTTAATAGTTTACCGATTGTGAAATGGGAAAGTAAGCAAATGTCTCTCGAAATGACGAGAAAGAAAGACCTTTTACATTTGGAATCGAGCAAATGTCTATTATGCAGCGACAATACGACAATCAAGGAGGCAGGGATCATTTTGCCTTGCAAAGGGATTGCTTTCTTCTTAGCTCTGTTAATCTTGACGTTACTGCTTTTATTATCATTAGAATATATCAGCTGACTCTGTAATCCTTCTTAACGAGAATCCCATCTATTTAAATTGTATTTTAAATTGAAGCCCTACAGTATATATTATACTAACTTTTTTCTATTTCCATTTAGATAACTTCGATCGAGGAAACAAGAAATATAGCGACAGTTGCGTATCCGATCGCGAGTGTGGCTTCAACGGATCTTACTGTGAACCGAAGAAGAACATATGCACTTGCAGAGAAGAATTTAAAATCACTAATCATATTGACAAATGTGGAAACCGTAAGTTAGTATATATTTAAACGTGTTACACAGTAGAGACAAATTATTTTCATAGTTGTTTTCATCTTTTTTAATTATACTTCATATAAATTTGCAAATAATTGACAACAATTGATTTCGATTCTTCGATCTATCTATATCTTTTAATTACAACACGTGTACATCCAATATCTCGATAATAACTAAACAAATATATTTCCTCATCACAGTGTCACAACACATTAAGATTGTCCAATCTGACAATGAGTGATAGTAGGGCACCGAAATATTGGATGATAATTGACTGTTGTATCATGAGGATCTAGAAACAATGGTACTCTTTTGTTTGTTCATCATACACGAGTACCTTGTAAAGTAGAAGTGAGAGTACCTTGCATATAGAGACGTCAGCGACCTCGATAATGCACGTCGTTTCCTTTGCTTGTCGATTTCACTTCTGAATGAAGGGATTTTTTTTTATTTCAAACGAAGAAATCATTTCTATTAGCCTTTTATCAAGTAATAAATTTATAATATAATATATATATGTACATGTACAACAGGTTTAATTTAATTATATATTCATGTATGTATATGAGGAATATGGATATTCAGATATTGACCATTTATAACCATCTTAGTTAACAAGTTATAACAATGTAAGTTTATGTAGAATCAAATGTTTTCAAATTAAAACTTTATTAATGAGAAAAAAAGTTAATAGAAGAATGAATTATATTATGGTAATTTCTTGACACTCGTTTACCGAGAAAACAGAGGTGACGTAGATAAAGAAAAAGAAAATCTGACAAAATTATTTTCAGCGGTGAACGTTAACGAGAGTTGCTTCTTTCACGAACAATGCGAGGCACGTGTGAGCCAAACAGAATGCAGGGACAATCGATGCATTTGTATCTTCGAGAAGATTCCTGTGACGCAGCCCGACGGTGCCATAGTTTGCATTGGTAAGGGTGAAAACGATGAAAGATTTTAAAAATGAAGAAGAAAAATTCTTTCTTAAAATCGTTCAGACACGTGCCAGTTTTGTTCGATACCGAATGCTATTGGTGGAATGTCTTTAATGAAGTACGATAAGTGAATTTTTGATGACGTTTTTAGCCGAGAACAAAGAACCACCAAGTTTGCAATACGTGGACCCAGCGATGATCGGAGTTCTCGTTGGCATGGCACTGATGTTCGTCATTATATGCGTCGTCCTTAGACTTTTCAGCAAGTAAGTTTAAGGTGACGAAACTTTAACAAAAGTTTGACTATGATATTGTCCTACTTGGATCGTTTCAGAGCACGTTGGCGAGAAAATCGAACGATTTTCAACACTCCCAACGCACGATTGATGAACGTCTCCTTGTTAAGGGATAACAAACTTCTACATACACAGGAACGTCGTGGTTCTAGGGCAAGTGTACGCGTACCATCGAGGCAACCATCGATGGTTTCTTTGCGTGCACACTCGCCAAATGCCTCGCAAGGTGCGAAACACACTCAGCACTCTCAACACAGAGTGAGCCGTACGGGTTTTTATTCATTCACTTACTAAGCAAGCAACTTGTTATTAAAGCCCCGTTTCTAATAGAACAGACGACTCTTCTATCTTCCTAATATACGTATACGTGGTGACCTTTCGAAACGAGCACGATCGGAATAGATTTTCATTTTTTCAAGTAGAACAAAAAATCCTGCTGGATTTATCTTACTAAGATAATAGCCTATTATTTTCAAATCTAGCCCTATATTTGAAGATATATTTTTCTCGAGTAAAACGGAGAATCGGGGATAGGATCAATACATTTTTTTCCTCTTATCTGGTCTATCTACGTTCTTTCTTTGTGCCAACCTCCTTTTGTATATCTCTTTCAAAATATCAAAATATGTTATCTCCTTGCTGAAAATATTTTGCTAAACATTCGCGACTAACAGATGCATTTTAGAATCACTATGGGGTAAAAGGGTAATTTTCTTAATTAGTTATAACATATGCGCGTTGGTTGATACTATTTTTGATTAACGTTTCTGAAAGATAAATGAAAAAATATTGTATTGAAATTTCTTTTTTTCCATGGAAACATCGGAGGTATCGATTTTGATTGGTCACCTCGTATGTATAGATAAATATCAAAAACTACACACATACTTGTACACACAATATATATATTTATATATATGAACATATATAGTACATGACATACGTAGGGAAAATATCTGATTATCTATCTATCTATATACCTGTTTTGCCTGTCTCGATGTAGAAGAGTTCTTCTTGCCACGAATCTTTCAAAGAGTGTCTTCTTCTTCTCGCGTTACAATCGCATGATACAGTCGCCTGCAAAGATGAAAAGCTGTTTGCTAAGTAAAGAACTGTCTCTTCGAGTTTTTTCTTTTTTTTTCTTTGAAATAATTTTCAAAATGTATCTTAATTTGTTGTCAACCAGCAGATGACTCCTCTATGCTAAAACAGCTGTTATTATTTTTCTTTCTCTTTTTTCTCATCTAAAAAAAGTATTTCTATCATTTTCGCGATCTTTTTTTTAATTATTTTTATCTTTAGAAAAAGAATTAAAAAAAAAAATAAAAAACCATATACATATATATATTTAATCGAAAACTTTGGCAAGATTTTATCAAGAAAAACTATTTGAGGATCCCATCTACTTTCGTATCGGCCATCTTGGATTGTAAACACCGGATGCAAGATTACGATACGTGAAATTAACGTAAAATATTGTTGTGATAATATTTGATATGCATTATTAAAAAATTGTAGACATATATTATACATATGTATACATGAACGTATGTATATATCTTTAGTGTTGTTCTAGAAAAAAAAAGCTATTTCGTTTGATCTAGCGATTCCAATTTGTCGATTAGAGTTGCTTGCTACAGTAAAACCAACGAATATGTTTGCATCTATTCTTCAAATCATCCAAAAGAAAAATATCACTTTTTTATTTTTCTTTTCCTATCATCTCTTATATATGATCATCATTTTTTAAAGCTAAATTTTGTACAAATCACTTAGAGGAAATAAGAAGAAGCGTAATTTAAAAAGCTTCTTCTTTTTCTCTCGGCTTTTAGAAATAGAAATAGTAAATTAGTATAAGATGTTAGACATTTTTATAATCGATGAAATTGCAATAGTTAAATGAAATGCATGAGAGTTCGGTTCGGGTGATTAAAAACAAATCATTGTTTAATAGTTTACAGTTAACAAAGTAGACGCTATTAGTAAACTTTTTTAATTGACATATTATTTTCATTATTATTACTATTATTATTAAATTGTTCTACTGTAGTAAATAGTTATTGTATATTTCATATTCCGAATATCATAGAATTGTCGCGATTGATCATAGCAGAGTAATGATTCGTTTCCAATTTTATTATCAACATTAGTTTAGAGTGTTAACGCGTTAAACGTAAATCAAATGTTCTCTCTTTCACGATTACACACTGTCCACTAAAACGCAGTGGTAAAATTTATTCGAACGATCTTACTCTTACGTTTTCCCACGAGATGATGATATTTCATATTTATGAGAAGTAATAAATGAAAGAAGGTCGTCAAGTTGTTTTTTTAAATAAAAGGAAACCGTAGTTGACTCGTTCGAATACATTTGACGATTATTCAAATCTCACGGGGATGTTTCGAAGATATGATATGATGTTAAATGTTGCTAAACAACAAAAATTCAAATGATTTATTAAATAATACTTTCATATTTTGTCTGTTAGAATAGAAAATCGATTCTCTTCGAAACAATCCGTGGTTTAGGGGACAACCAACATGTGCATGTGTTATATATATATATATATTAGAAAAAAAAACTAAACGAAAATTGTTATTAAGAACAAAAGAGCAAGTAAGTAAGATAAGTGCATTGACTAATACATCTCTCCCGCGCAGGTATTCGTGCTTAAAAGCTATTCTCTGGCATTTCGTGCTGTCGCAAGAAAGCACGTGATACTTTAGCAAGAAAAAAATCTCTGTCGCCAGGGTCACGTACAGGATCGCGACGTGGCAGCCGTGGTAGCAGTGGCAACGCATCGGCCGTATCAACCAAATCAAACAACAAATCACCACCAAGTAATCCTCAAAACAACGTGACAGATCCGGTCTTGGAAAACGTCACCGTTGAGATTCTCGAACCCAAAGCGTAGATTATTGGATCGATTAATCATCCTAACCCCCTCCCGCGTTTCTATTGTTTCATCGATCGGATTTTACATACATTTTCATAAGCGACAAATAATTTTGCTTTTCTTTTTTTTTCTCACTCACTCACTCACTCACTCACTCACTCACTCACTCACTCACTCACTCACTCACTCACTCACTCACTCACTCACTCACTCACTCACTCTCTCTCTCTCTCTCTCTCTCTTTCATCGGGACTATAAGTAAAATCGATTTTCTTACCACTTCTCTTCTGTCGCGAAGAAAATAATCTAAATCTGATCGTTAAAACGATTTGTCTCTGAGAGGAAGGGGTTGGAACTGGGAACGGGAGGGAGGGAGGGTTTTACGGGGTAAGGCCACGTCGTTAAAATTATAATCATGGCAATCATTTCTTCTTCTTCTACTTCGATCATGGAAAAAAAAACAAAAGAAAATCAAGCTAAAAATAACGTGAAAGTTTGAATTAACTAAATTTGTATCTCGTTCGCGAGTATTTTCAAAGTACCAACGAAAAATGACGATACATTTTTGCACATATATATATATACTATATCTGCTCGATGGAAGATTAATATAGAGATTATCCGAAGAATTTGAACGAGTGAACCTTTATCTTTTGCATTTTATACTTTTTAATAAAAAAAAAAATAATCATTATATAAATGTCAAGTTAAATTTACATAGAAGAGGGGTTGTTATTTGTACGCGTATGAAAGAATTGAAATATCGCGATGTGAAGGGAAAAAGAAGTGGATTCTATGTTTGAACTTTGTTTAAAATAAAAAAAAAATAAAAAAAAAAGTGAAACCAAAAACAAAATAAGAAAGAAAAGACTGTTGAACGATTCGTCGGACGATCTCTGTGTTCTATCGTACTTCATTCGATATTCGTACACCATAATTTTCGCGTCTACTATAATATACTAACTAAAAGCAAGATACAAATTGTACTCGTCAAATCTCCATCCAATGTGTGTATGCGTATTATTAACCGATTTAAAAAATAAAAAAAAAAGAGGGATAAAATTATGACAACTAGGGGTGATTATGTCGGAGATAAATTTTTTTTTTCTCGAACAAATATGATAGGGGAACGATTTTAAATATCGTTCGTGAGAATAGACGAAGGACAACAAGTGAATAATAAAAAAAGAAAGGCAAGGAAGATAATATAATAAAATATAATTTTACATCTCCGAATTCCAATGTCACAACTCGACTGGTGTCGCGAAGCCAATATGAAAGGGACCAGACGAAAGTGTTTGATTCAAGATTTTGGAAGAACTAATATCGAAATAATTCAATGCATCATCGCATCGTAAGCACTGCAATTTAGCACACAACGTATGATTCCGATACTGTTAATCTTGTCCACGATTTAATCGTATTGAAATGTGCGAATATTCGAATGATGTTTAAGAAAGAAAGAAAAAAAAGAAAAGAACAAAAAAATAAACAATTAACAAAAAGAGTACTTTAACTATATAGAAGAACTAACAAAACTATTCTTGTAGTGCTATGCCCGAACTATAAGTATATATATACTATACTTACGAATAAAAGATTCGATCACATACTTTGGATTTTTGAATGATCTAATGATCTCGAATATTCGTTTCATTCTGATACCAAATGCCCTAATTAAATCGTACGATATAGTAAGTGTAGAACGTAAATTAATCTATATATATAAATTTGAATTTAGATTTAAAACATAAATACGTAACGCATAGGCTTCTATATTTCGAGGCGACGAAATTTTCTATTTTCCAAATGAAAATCATCTTGATAGTATTACTTTTTAAAAATGATAAACGCAGCCGACCATACAGCCGCCAATAATTTCATAAGTTTCATGTAAAAAAAAGCAAATATAAGAAGATGAAAAATACACATATATATATATAAGTAGATGTGTACGAATAATTAAGAATGTAATAAAAAGTGTCATCGAATGAAATTTTAAGAAGAAAATAATACGCGGGTAAATTCGAACGATCGCCTCGAAACACTTTGCTATAAGTAGAACGACCAATGGTATATCACAACCTTATATATATATATATAATTTCATAAGTTTCATGTAAAAAAAAGCAAATATAAGAAGATGAAAAATACACATATATATATATAAGTAGATGTGTACGAATAATTAAGAANATATATATATATATCTTTATCTCTTTAATTCGCACAAGAAAGTCTTTACGAAGAAAAGATGCTTGATTAAGACAAAAATTATAATATTTCAAATTTCTTAATGACTTATAAGAATATCATTAAATAAAAATAAAAGAAGAAAGATAAAAAAAAAGAACTCCAGTACGATTGTATCTGAGCAATTTAGTGCCTACGAACTGCGCGTATATTAAAAATGCATTATTCTATAAATTAAACGAAAAGATAAATTCACATATATACATATAAAATATCTATTCATAACACTCATTACATACATACACAGACATACACGCACACACATACATAGACGTGTTATAAAAGAAAGATAAAAAAATGCAGCAAACGATTAACATGAAATCACGTCGTACAAATTTTATTTCTGTGTAGGTACAATTTTAAACAAAGCTTAAATTATAACAAAAAAACTATTTGCAATATTCGTAGGTTGTTATCTATTTCTTTTGTCTTCTTGTTCTTTTTGAAAATCGCTCATTGACTGTGTCTGCTCTGTGATCCATGTGCAACGTATATTAATCTTATTGTTCTTCATTCTACCTTGTTATTATATTAATCACCTATTAACTATTTATTAAATATTATTAACATTATTATTATTGTTATTTAGGAGTAAACAAAATTCGCGCTTAAATTTTCTAGTCCGCACCTGTGAAAACTTTAATAATAATATTGTAAAACATCTGCATTCGCATAACTTTGACTAGACGTTAAGCCCTCTCTGCGCAAAGCGCACGTAAATTATTTACATGTAGAATGAAAGGATTATAAAATAGAAAAAAAATAGAAAGAAAATAATACATAGAGGAAAGGGGAATTGTGAAAGAAAGATAGGAAGATGGTGTGTGTGTGTGCGTGTGCGCGTGCGTGCGAGTGTGACTAGACGAATGGAAAAAAGAATGAATGGAAAAAAAAAAGTGCGCGTGTCGCATTAATGCGCAAATCTATTGCTTCATCTGACATTTTTAAGATTAGACTAATTTAAATCGCTAAGAGAAACAATATCGATTAAATTCCGAAACGAAATTGGGGGAAGGTTTCGATTTCAGAATTTGATCGAATTAATTTACGATATTATTAGATCAAAGCGCAAAAAACACACACACATATATATATATATATATATGATTATCTATAAATAAACGCATAAAACATTGAATATACTTTTGCTATGTGACGTGTCTCGAAGGATTCATCGATTCGAACGAGGTCAATGATATCCTTTGGTTCTTCTCAAGTCGTAGAAAGATTTAACGAATTAAAAGTACGAAGCTTAGCGAGCGTTAGAAATAGTTCATTAATTAGAGCGTAATGCTGATCGATTTGCAAAAAAAAAAATAAAATGAACCAAAGAAAAAAAAGAAAGATGAGAAAATGATATGAAAGAAGAATAAAATATCTCGAAGAAGTGTACTTAAATGTCCGCATATCGGCGTACACTATCTTTGAATAATTCGTTATTATACTATCGTGTAAAGTTAATAAGTGCATCGCCGCATTTATGCACCAAAAAAAAAAAAATAAAAGGAAAAAGAAAAAAAAGAAAAAAGTAAAACGATTTATGCATAGAGTTTCTTTCCGCCCTAAATGAGAAGAAAATGGTATTATAAAGGAAAGTATAGGGGACTTGCGCGCAAAAAGAGTGCCTCCTTTAATTCTTACTCAAAGACACTCGCTCACTTTTGTAAAAATTCTATTTTAAGCGATCTTTCAAGAAAAAATACTTCGCGTATTCTACAATCGCTTCTCTGCAAGTGCCATTTCGTTAGAACTATGATAATGAACACCGGATTGATGATAATTATTCGCCGGGTATAATAAAATATTCGATAATCGTATATACATTTCGCTCGGCTCGTTTCTACGCTTTAATGTGAAATCTTACGTCTTAGGATCTTCGACCGCCAATCATCGCCAATGCGTGTAGCAATACCTTAGATATCTATTTATGTATAACTTAATCAATTTACCTTAGTATATCAATGATTATATCTCAATATCAAATCCAAAATATCCAATCTCTCGTCTCCTATCATGTTGAATATTTATCAGAAATCCTCTTCTTTTAAAATGTTGAATTTGTTAAAACAAAAATCGACATTGGATCGATTCAATTGATCGTGAAATATACAAATTGTACCGGCACAAAAGATAAATCTTATAAACAATCCAACAATTATTTCCGTCGGTTCTTATAAAATTCCATAACGAGAGATTCAGTGCGATTTATAAAAACTAAATTGCAATTACACGTATTCACGATAATGTCTGCTAAACAATCTACGAAATTTCGATCTTTTCCGATCGAAGAGGTGCAAGTGGTGCAAATATGGGGAAGTGTTTGGACCACTTTGACGCCGTCTTTGATAAAATCGATCGAATTATCCTCCTGAATAATTCAAATATATCGAAATCATTTCGAATACCGTTTACAATCTATTGTACCTGTGACAAATCATTTCTTTTTATATATTACGAGAGATAATAAAATATATCGAACTTTACTTTATCATAATAAGAAAGATTTGAGACAAAAGTTTAAGGGTAAAATATCCTACTCGATGACAACGATTATTGCGATGTGTCACCGTGAAATCAAAATTAGGATGATGCGCTGAAAAACGCAACAGCAGCAACAACAACAACTACAATAATAACAGATGATAGATTAATACGATAGTTTAGTAATCAATAATTTATATGTAATTATACAGTATTTGAGAAGCGTTTCCGTTTCTTCACTAGATAGAATCTGACAGTCGTATATTAAGATAGGATGAGAATCAAATGGAGACGATATACATGTTGTCCTTCATCGAAGACATTTTTTCACGATCTTAATCTACGATTTTTCTTCTTAACTCGTCACATAAGGCACTTATCACCAAAGATTTATTCCTAATATCTTAATGATCGATTTATCACTTTATTGTATTATGTATAATATAAGTGAAAGATATATACTCGTTTTGTCTTATATTCGATACTAAGAAAATATTATAGGAAATGATCGCTTACTTTCAGGAATAGTTATACAAAAATGTATAACATTTTTGTGACCGATAATATTATATTACTCTCTCTCTCTCTCTCTCTCTCTCTCTCTCCATAATTAATTTTACTTACTTTCTTCTTCATCATTTTGAAGATTGATAAGTCACATTCATATATTTTATCACCGATATATTCGTACTTATATATATATACGCCGACGCAACCCATGATGTATAATTGTGATCTGACGTAAGGTTATATACATATGGCAAGGTTGATAAAAAAAATACTATAATGCATTTTAATAATGTTCACACATATGTAGTCTACATTGATCGTACATACGTAGGCCGCTTTTACTCGTATGATAATTTATAATTAAGTAAATTACTACTAAGCTCTATGACGCGTTACATCTAAGCCTCTAAGAAAGTAAGGGATGGTTTTTTGAATGATCAGGGGAAGTAAAAAAGAAAAATAAAAACAAAATTGAAATCATATTATAAAAGCATAAGCAGATTTTAAGTAAAGGAACACTTAATTTAGAGTAATAGAATTTAGGAACTCAGTGTGGATAGGTGCGGATGAAATATTATACAAGTCCCTTTTTTTTTTCCAAAACTTTAAATATTTTATAAAATATCACATGTAACGAAAATAAATATCGTTACAATATGATCTGTAAACGTACTATATATATATAAAAATATATATATAAAAAAAAAAATATATATATATATATATACATATACTATATACTTTAATAGCGGCTTAGCGTACCTCTTGTAATCTTTATATTATATATTTCATATAATATAGCTTATAACAAATAATGTATAACATATACCAAATGTATTTGAAACTTAATTATATATTCTGACTCTGAATTCATTTTAATAAAATCTTAATACACTGTATACATTTTGTTGACTTAAAATTTCCAATTTTGTGATAGTGGTTCATATTTTTTTGTCAAGTTCTTACGTTTAAATAATACTAATTAAAGAAATATAAAAAAATAACTTTTATAATAACTAATAAACGTAAATAAACGAAAATATATTTTATTTATAAGAATTCTTGGCTCTCCAATCTAAAAACTCATCGAATTCTGTTTCATCATCGGTTGACATATCATCTTCTACATTTTCCAATTTTCTGTCTGTAGCTTGAACTTGTTCTTTCCGTTTTATAAAGTCCATTACCCTTTTAAAAATAATTTACATATAAGAAATAATAAAAAGGTACAAAAAATAATTTTAAATATATTTATTATTCTTACCTTGACCAATATCGTATTTGTTCTTCTATTTCATCTCTTTGCCTCTCTGTCGTTGCTTCTTCTTGATCATCAGCTATGATTTGTGCAGATTGAGCTGTTTCTTCTTTAATTTCTTTTTGAAATTTTTCCCATTCCTCTTCAATGGGATCTTTGTATTCAACATTACGAACCTAAAAAGATAGGAAAAATATATAAATTATATTTAAAATTCATATTTTTTGAGACTTTACTTTAGCATCCATAATTGGATCGTCGAAGAATCCTTCTGGCAAGGCTGCCTGGTTTGTTTCTTTTACTTTCTCCTTTTCTTTATCAATATTATTTTCTATATCTGTATGTGTCCTGTTCTCTGTGTCACTATTTGTTTCCTCTGAAGAATTTTTTGTTTCTTGCGTTGTTATAGGAATGACCGGTGTAGAAGTGACGCTTGACTGTTTAGAAGAATCATCAAAAAAATCTGCTGGTAAATTTGATTGTGCGAGTGGCTTAGAAGGATTCTTGAGTATACCCTTTATTTTTTTGTTCGTAGTATTTTCTTCTAATGGGGAAGAAGGCCTCTTAAATGTAGATGATACAGTTGTTGAAGGTCGTTCAAATTCTAACTTTGTTTTCTTTGCTAATAATACATTTTCTTTATGAGTTTTACTATTTATATGAACGGCCCAGACTGTTTCACTGCGTACAATACTCTTGCAGAGAATGCACATTAATTGACCTGCATCTGTATATGTGTTTACTGTGTTAAGGAAATTAATAGAAAATGTTGTCTATATATATGTATATACGAATAGAGTAAAATCTATTAAAATATAAATAATAAAACTAAAATAATAAATTTAACCTAAACATTAGTAATGGAAAGGATATTTTGCTAAAGGTGATTCTATCTTCTTTACTATTTCGAATTTTTTCTTATGTTCACTCATAGCCTTCCTTAAATCTTCTTGAGTTAATTTTCTTTTGAGCGTCATTTTGATAATTTTTCAATGCACTTTATTATAAATACATACAATATTTACACAATGCAAGCATAATATAAAAAACTATCAGCTGACAGTTGCACTAGTATTTACTAGTAGGTGGCGCGGCGATCGTCAAATGCAACCTATCGATATTACTACGTAATATAATCGGTTCATAACTATCGACGACGTGTCATACAGATTGTGCAATTAGTTTTAAAATTAGGTAAATATAAAGGTAATTAAGTAAGATTTATATAGAAGAAAATATGTCGGAATGAAAGTTTTAATAAATTGCGATTCTATCAGAAAATCTCATAGCGCATCTTTTTTTATCGAAGCATCCTTTGTATAGTTAACCCCAAAAATTTATATACATTATATTACAGAATATGATTTTTTAAATTATTCAATGAATCATCACATATTTAATCGTTGCATTTCATTTAATTTCATTTGTTAAATTAACGTCAATTATTAAAAACAATTGAAAACATTCATGTTGTTCATTTAAAATAAATAACTCTTAAAGTAAGAGAAATTTTTTGGAAACAGTAATAATACAAAATATTATTCAAAAAAATGAATAATCTCTATCTTTTGCAACTTAAAACGTTAAATGAAAATGTAGAACATATGCAATCGCATATAATGACTTACAAATATAAAGACCCTCGTTTTGACATAACAAAAAGCGTTTTTTTAGCAACGATGGCAGATCCAGTGATTGGTATAAAAGAAAGTACTACTGACAAAATAATATGTGCTGATCCATTTAAAGAAGGTGATCCCTGTGATTCTTGCGTTCCAAGACTTTCAAATAATAAATTATTATCATTGATTATTAAATGTACTAACTTTGCTGCAGAAAAACATAAAAATCAAAAAAGGAAAGATCCAGCACAAACACCTTATATAAACCATCCCATAGGTTTGACATAATAAACAAAATTAGAAAATAAATGCAAAATATTTTACGTATTTAAAAAAATGTGGAACAAATTATCATTTTAGGAGTTGCAAACATTTTACTTCATGAAGGTGATGTATACGATCCTGTTGTAATCTTAGCTGCACTTTTACATGATACTGTAGAAGATACAGATACTAGTTTTGATGAAATCGAACAAGAATTTGGATATACAGTGAGTCAAGTTGTTCAAGAAGTGACTGATGATAAGACTCTACCTAAAGCAGAACGTAAACGTTTGCAAATAGAAAATGCACCTAAAAGAAGTCATAGAGCTAAATTAGTATTACTAGCAGATAAATTATACAATTTACGAGACCTTCAAAAGAGTACTCCAATTGGTTGGACACCTGAAAGAGTAAAGGAATACTTTAAGGTAAATTTCGTATCCAATAAAGCCTTTATCTCGTAAATAAAAATTTATAAAATGAATAACTTTTAAGTACATTTATATTACAGTGGGCTAAAGCTGTTGTAGATAGAATACGTAGGACTAACTCTAATTTGGAAACTGCACTAGATAAAATATTTGAAGAACAAAAAATTGAAACTGAGATTAAATGCAAATGTGTACTAGATAATTTACAAAATTGTCATAATAGCGAAAATATAACTTAGTTCTAATTTTCAATGAAAATTGACTTTATATAGAAAATATTATTTTTACAACTTTGAGATTTTATGAAAGATATTGATTTCAAAACTGGTACACCTTGTATTTACAAATAATACAGATCAATAAATTCAATATTGGCAAGCTATTTCATAATAGCACAGATGGTTGATGTTTTTACTTCTTATTATGTTGTTCATAAAACCATTCCATATATTTTGCTAATACTTCTACTTCGTCTTCTCGAATTGCATTATATAACGAAACACGTATACCACCAACAGATCTGCAACATATTTATTGTACACTTGAGTAAATTTTTATATTACTTATATATCATTTCTCAGATCTCTGATATCATTTTTCATTACTTCTCTAAGAGACCAGTTTTTTAAACGTTTCGTACTAACCTGTGACCCTTTAACTGAAGCATTCCACGAGCGACTGCACCAGAAAGGAATTCCTTTTCTAATTCTTCATCATTGTCTTTTATTCTAAATGGAATATTCATTTTACTACGTGCATCTACATCGATCGGACATCTATAAAATCCATTAGATTTGTCGATAATATTATATATCTTTTGACTCTTTTTAATTGCATTTTGTTCCATACTTTTAACTCCTCCATTCTCTTTTATCCAATTAAATACTCGATCCACAAAATATATTCTAAAATAAACATAATGAAACGATGAATAAATTGAATTGTTCAACTTATTTTACAAACAAAAATGTCATTATATTTACTGGAAAAGTGGCGGAGTATTGTGCAAAGAATTATCATTTGCCATGACTGTAAAATTTAAAACAGTTGGGCAAACTGGCATAGCATGACCAAGAAGATCATCTCGTACAATTACCAAAGTAACGCCAGCTGGTCCGATATTCTTTTGTGCTCCAGCAAAAATTAATGCAAACTACAACAGATGTTACAATGTAATGATATTACAATTATTAAAAAAAAAAAACAAGATAAAAATATATTGCGTTATATACTTTCGAAATATCAAAGGATTTCGTTAATATGTTCGATGACATATCGGCAACGAGTGGTACGTTTGTTTCCGGAATGTAATCCCATTCGATACCTAAAATCATTTATGTAAATAAAAGATAACATTGTTAGCTTTTTTTAGTTTTACAAGAGTTACCGTGAATAGTCTCATTAGCGCAATAATAAAGATAAGATGCATTCGAATCTAATTGCCATGTACTCGGTTTCGGAATTCCTGTATATTTTGTTACTTTTGGTAAAACCAAATTAACTTTTCCATATTTAGTTGCTTCTTTCGCTGCCTTGGCTGACCATGATCCTAAAAAATATTAAATTTCATATATTATATTTCTTTCATAAGAAAAATTGAATGACATAATAAATTTCTATATAATATTTTTACATATTATTTACCTGTAACAATGTAATCTGCTGTACCGGTGGTCATTAAATTTAAAGGAATAGCTGCAAATGATCCTGTGCCTCCTCCTTGCATAAACAAAATTTTATAATTGTCCGGGATTTTTCTGTAAAATCACAAATACCATTCATATAAGTGATTTAATATTCATTTTTCGATAAATGAAAATTTTGTTTCGTACTTACAATAATTCTCGCAAAACTTTTTGCGCGCCGTTGACAACATTTTCAAAATCTTTCGAACGATGACTTAACTCAAGTATACTTATCCCAGTACCATTGAACGAAAGTAACTCTGCTTGTACTTCTCTCAATACCTACAAAGTTTACCACATATATGAAACAATTTACAGTACAATGAACTCTTATGACCTGCACATAGGGTGTCTAAGAAATCATTGAATCCATTATGGATTATATATCCCATAGTAAAATATATTATTCAATTATTATTATTATTAAAAAAAAAAAATACAAATTTCTCTTTTTGAAGTCTTTATACATGGTTAATTCAAATTTTTATAATATTTTTTCATATATCGTATATGTCGAGTTTACATAAAAATCACGTGATATCTTTACACCATAAAAAATCCATAGTATATAGATCAATTATTTAGATTTAAAAACATAATTAAAGTCAAGAAAAAAAACAAATTAAATTTTTATTTGGGAATACCTCTTCTGGTAATTTTGCTGGGCCAGCACCGAAATTGATAACGCGTTCTTTTTTATCAGCCATTCTGAAGAGACGTAAGGAAACACTTGAAACGATCGGTGATCGTGTAAATCAACTGACTTTTAAAGTAGAAACGAGAAGTACTAATCAGTCGGCTCTGTGAATTTATCACTTGAAAATAATAAAGAATGGTGGGGAGTTATCAAGTATAGTTAATTTTGTACTCTTCCTTTTGCACGACCTTTCACTCCAGTACTTGTTCACCAAACCGGTTCTTATTTCTAGATTTTCTTTTGTAGAAATCAATCAGTAATATTTAAGAGCAAGTATTTATATGATAACCGAGCAACTAGCTTGACTACCTGTTGACTATCGTCATCTTCATTAAATTCATATCACTGAATGTAAAAGCCGCGAAAAACAAAATCGATGATGAATATAATTATTCTTATCAAATATTTTTAACGAAAATTTTCTTATATATGAAAGAAATTTATACCATGCCAAGAATTTAGGACAAAAAATTAGCAATAATAATAATAATAATAATAATAATATATAATAATGATAATTAGATTTGAATATCTAGCTCATTGTAATGATCGCATTTGTTTTACGATCAATGGAAAATAAATCCTTGATAATCCTTAACCTTTGTGTAGAAATATTAAAGTACTTATTTCTGGTTTAATCCAGTATTCAAAGTTTTATATTCCAGTTTTTATTGAAGTACTTTTTTCAACAACTGATAAAACTTTGTTGGTGGTACTTACGATCTATTGATTGTATAATTAGATGAAAATATGTTGCCGTTGAATAGTTCATATTATTCTTATTAATTTATTGCATTGATGATAAGCTGAACTAACATCATAACGATTAAAAATAACGTTTTTTAATTCACGTTATTATTAGAAATGTTTATTTAATTCTATTATAATAGAAAAATGATCTCACAATTAAAATTCATTTATTTAAATTAAATGTAAAATTTATATGCTTGATTATTTCATGTGTTGATTAATGTTACTTTATTTCTTACAATAATTGTCTCTATTATGAAATATTGGGCTTATGTAATATTTCCGTTTATATGATTTAACGGAAGGATACGAAAGATATATGAAAAGGGAAATTCAATAAACTGAAGAGGTAACTCCCCACTTTGGATTATTATATAACATATTTACCGATCTACATAATAATATTTAACTGATAGTGAGTAATTTTCGAAAGTGCTTACATCAATCTTGCATCTTTTTTTATTTTCATTTTTAGTAAACTATTCGATATTTGAATAGCTACAAAATAAATTAATTATTGATCTTTACAGATTTTGTTGATATGTAAAATTTCGACAAATTAGTTAATACTCATTCAAAATATTGGGTTCGTAAAAGCATCTATGTGTTGAAATATATGCTCCTATTATTAAGAACAAGTACTAATACATTGTCAGCTGATTACTAAAGCTGATTACTAAGAAACCTAACCTTTTTAAAGGATTTGTATAAATTTAGTGAGAAAAAATGTTTTCTAACAAAGTTCTGCCTAGTATTGCGCAAAATGCACGAATAATAATTGAACAGAAAGAATTGAATACAATAAATAGGTTGTTAATAAATAAGGATAGAATGATACTTATTGATGTAACCTAATTTTTTTACAGAAATTTGTATTTCTTCTTATACATAGTCTTTTCACAGGTTGCAGGCGTTTGTTTTCTGAGAAAAAGACAGATGGAAAAGTGGAAAGTGAAAGAATTAAAGAATTTAGGAAGAAATTGCGTGAACGTACATCGATAGGTTTGTAATATTTAATTAAATACATAGTACACATACAATATAACATATTAATCAAATGTTTATTTATTACATTTAATAGAAAAGTTACCAGAATTTGAAGAAGGAAAGCATCCTTATCAAGAAAAAGAACCTTTGAAGCCATTTCCAGATAATACAAATCCAAAAACAGGTGAAATTGGTGGACCACGTGGACCAGAACCAACTCGTTATGGGGATTGGGAAAGAAAAGGACGTGTAACAGATTTTTAGATATTAATTTAGTATCAATATTATTATAATTATTTTAGGAGAAATATATTAATTATGTATCATTAGCGATAATCTGTATTATAATGTTATCCTGTAAATTATAAACATAAATTATGCATAGAAAAATATTAATACATTTTATTAAAATCTCTTTAAAGTAATAAAAGTTATACATAATATATAGAGAAAGAGAGATAACTTCTGTAAATTTATATCGAATATAATTAACAAATTTATACAGTGAAAACATCGGTAAAGTTCTATTGAGAAAACTATTAAATTTTTCAAAGGACGATATATTCGTTATTCAGTAACTGCACAATTCATTGTGTAGTTGTATCTCATTTAGTTTTTTTTTCTCATATCTTTATTAAAAATAAAAATATCGTAGAATAACAAATTATAATGAGTTTAAAATAAAATTATTATAAAGAGTATTTTAATTATCATTTAGTTTAAAATAATATATTATACGTATATGATTTGCACTTTAAATAAAACAAATAAAATTTAGAATCGTGGAAAAATCAGTGTTCCTATTGGTTGACAGTTTATTTCGAACAACCAAGCATTTTGATTCGTCCGTATTTCTGTCTAATTTCGAAACGCGCCTAGCAACTAACTTCACATCGTCTACGTATAACGAAAGTTCCGATAAAACCATCGATACAACGGCCGGTTCGTTGTTCCTGGTTTTGTTCCTTCTTTTCTGAACGACATCATTTTTAAGAGGTACGCAATTACAATTAAAAAAATTCTTTTTTTCTTGTTAAAGCATGTAATTATTGCTAAATTACTTGTATTCTTTATATACAATTTACTTTAGTATTTTTAGATAGATATAACGCCAAAAATTTAAGATCGGAGTTCATCCCATGTGCAACGTCTCTTATGCCTTTGCATTATAATTGTTAATCTTTTTTCAAGTTTTTATGATATCTTTCGTAAATTTTCTTTATGACAAATTAATCAATTACAATATTTCATATCTACCTGTTACTTTAATCGTATTTTAAAATGAAGAATTTTTATATTTCATGATGCATGCATATATCCCAAGAAATAACCTTTTATTAGCATTATGAACATTTGAGTTAAGTGTTAATGTTCTTTCGCATGTACATTAATTTGCTACGTAATAACTTTTAAGCAATATTATTTTTGAAATCGTTTAGCATTTATAATATTTGAGAAATAGTCAATTGATATAATAAAGCACGGTACTGATATGTATAAAAAATGACTTGCTAATTGAATGTTTTATTGCACTGTAAAATTGAACTTTTTGTTAAAACTATGCACATCACGTCAAATATTGCTTAACGATAGTTTGCTGAAAAAAATTTCAGTTTAGTTTTTTATATTGATATCAATATATTCATTTTATTAGAATCTCAGCTTTTTTTATTTAGTAAGATACCGTATCAGTTTTATATATTCTCATTCTTCGATTTTAAAAATTGGCATATAGAAATGAACTAAAATTAACGAAATTAGGAATTTCTAGTTTTCTTGTATTTCTACCAAAAATATAATTTCAATTACAAGATAAGATTTAACAAAAAGACATTGTATAGATTTTAAAATATGAATGTAGCTTTAATTGTATTATTTGTAATAACTTTCATGGAAAATAAATCTGGATTATAGTACTATGACCACTGATCCAGAACGTGCCGGAGATACTACTGATACGGAATCTGTTGAAGAAGATGAACGCAATACTTCAAAGATAGATGCGAAAAGAATTAAAACCACTGAAAAAGTAAATTCTCCGCAAGATCTCGTTTGTGCACCTGGGATAGAGGTATTCCAACAAAAATTATATTATAAGTTTAAACAATTTTTTATTGCTTCATATATTTAAAGAAATGTAAATTAGTAGATGCATATGTTACTTTGCTGTGTTAAAAATCAAGTTTTCTTTTTTTTTAAGGTATGATTTGTTGCTTATTGACATATTTTTCATGTTTATAAAACAATTGTCATTTATGCATGTAATTAATGTATATATTTTTACTTATTAAATAAATAATATAACTCAATCATAGGATTCAAAGCAATTTAAGAATAATTTTGTATAAAATTATATATGTATATAAAATACTCGTCTGCTTATCGATGAAATTATTTAATATCTTTAATTATGATTGAAAATATTCTCTTAAGCGAATCATTTAATCATATCAAAAAATATTTTAACTTTTAGCAAATGCAGTCGCTACCAGCACCTATTAAACGTAGAATTAAGGCTCTCAAACAACTGCAATTGGTTACTACTAACATTGAAGCCAAATTTTATGAAGAAGTACATGCCTTAGAATGTGCTTATTACAATATGTGTGCACCTCTATACGAGAAAAGAAGTCTAATAGTTTCTGGTTCATACGAACCGACAGATGAACAATGTGTCTGGGAAAGTGATGAAGATGAAGAGGCCTTGGCAAATGAATTAAAAACTAAAACAGATCTTGATGATTCTCAGGAGAAGAAAGAGAAGTAAGTTTTTATTTATATAAATAAATTTAATTATAGCAATGAAATTTGTATCTGAATTTATTTAAATTATTTTTTATTAGAGTTGAAAATGAGGATATTAAAGGGATACCTGCATTTTGGGTAACGATATTTAAAAATGTTTCAATGTTGGCTGATATGGTACAAGAACATGATGAACCAATTTTATTACATTTAAATGACATCAAAGTACAATTTTTAAAATCTAATCCGATGGTAAGTAATATATATATATATATATATATATAATAATGTTTACATTATTCTAATTTGCTATATTTTATTAATAATACTTTAAATTTATTGTAATATTTTAGGGTTTTGTTCTTGAATTCTATTTTGAACCGAATGAATATTTTACCAATTCTGTTCTTACTAAAGAATATATTATAAGATGTGCACCAGAAAAACATGATCCATTCAGTTTTGAAGGGCCTGAAATATATAAAAGCAAGGTAACTCATTATATAATTATTATATTTTAATTTATTAAATATATGAAAAATATTATTTTTATATATTAAAACAAATGTATGTTTATCAATTTTAGGGTTGCGTAATTGATTGGAAAAAGGGAAAAAATGTAACGGTTAAAACAATAAAAAAGAATCAAAAGCATAAATCTAGAGGTTCTATGCGTACAGTAACGAAAACTGTTCAAAATGATTCATTCTTTAATTTCTTTAGTCCACCAGTTGGTAAGTGGACATATTTTTTATTAATATGTTCGTAATATGATATAATTTTGTAAATTATTGGATAATTTATAGTGCCAGATGATGCAGAAGCGGAGTTAGATGATGAAACTCAAGCTTTGCTTACAAGTGATTTTGAAATTGGACATTATATCAGAGAACGTATAGTTCCTAGAGCTGTACTGTACTATACAGGTAATTGGATACAGTAGAAAGGGTGTCTCATATAACTTTATTCACGATTTTTCAAGTATTTGCGATAATCTGATAAAAAACAAAAGTTGATCTGTTTTTGATTAACTATAAATTGCAATAAAAAAAAGTTCAAAAACATTTTTTTTCTATTTTTTTTTTGTTTTTCTTTTTAAGACTACCTTTGTATTTTTTAAATGATACTCTATATTTCTAACCTTACAGTATTATAGCTCGTATTCATACGAATTCACAACAAGTATACTAGCATGACCTTCGGATGACCTTGAAAGCAAAACAAATGAACTGTTTATGTTCTGTTGGTGCTTTGTTGTTAACACGTTGAATGTCACGCGAATTTTTCTTTCTTCATTCTTAACAGTTAAACGTGTTCAACTGTTTTTTTCAATATTTTTTTTTATTTTTAGGTGAAGGATTGGAAGACGATGAAGATTATGAAGACGAAGAAGATGAAGAAGAGGGAGATGATGATGATGATGAAGATGATGATGATGATATTGCAACTTCAGATGAAGAAGATGAAGAATCTTCTCCATTCAATGCGTCTTCTGGTGGGAAAAAACAAGGCGAGGATCCTAATGAATGTAAACAACAGTAGAATTTCGTATGAATTACGATAAAAAAAGAAAAAAAAAATCATTCGAGCGTTACAGTAAGCAAGAACATACTAACGAAACCTGACCGATAACTGCCTAGATATCCTGCACCTTCGGCTCCAACATAATCCACTTTGTATGAACCATCTAATCATATCATATCTCCTATTCCAGATCAAGCCTAGACACTCTTCAACATACCAGCGAAAAAAATTATGCGTATCCTCCCTCTAAATCAACGTTAATAATGAATAGTATATAGCTACTTACTGCTAAGATCTAATAATGTCATAAGTGTAATAGTTATGCTCTCAATATGATTATCGTCATTTTTAATTACTGCGTTTTATACTGTTGTTACGTTTATATATATGCAGGCAAAAGGCTGGTTAAATTCTTTTTCAGACGCGTTGATCTATGAACAAATTTTGGGTACTGTTGAAGCATTTTTAATACAAAAGTAAAAAAAAAAACTACATGTAGATCTCATTTATTTTAATCTACCAACATTTCTTCTAAACTCTTTAAATAATGTTTCGACGAAAAACATATTAATTAGATATGAATTGCATGATATTTGAAATAAAATATAATTAATACTTTAATGAAATATATAATAATATCAATTATGGTAGTGATTTTATGTTAACGTTTTGCCTTTAATTCTTTAATTATGTCTATGTGTTTTTTAAAACGCGTATATATCAACACGTGTGGTAAGTAATATTCTCTGTGTATTCCTCTCTCTATTGGTATTATATATTCAATATGTTAAACTTTAAACATTATTAAATATACTCTTACATGTATTACAAGTTGACCTGTATGTTTCTAAATATTACTGTGTAAAGACTGTACATAAACAAACAAAAAAACAATAATTCTTTTGTAATACAGATCTGCATTGGATAAAATAGAAATATTTTTTACGTACATAGCATCATATATTAATTATTTTCATGACCTTGCCGAATATCTATTCTGTTTTAGCGACATCTTCTGAATACGTTGACAATTCAAAGGTCACTGGCACTCACGAACAAATTAGTTTGATAAGAGAAATTCGATGAGAGTGGATGGATTTTTAGTTAGAATATTTTTTTATTATATTATCTTTCAGTTTTATACATTTCTTTTTTGTTAATTACCAAAAATGGATACTAGTAAATCGATATTGAAACAATTTTACAATTGTACAATGTTACGAGAGGGTAAAATTATAATTGAAGACTTATGGGTTCGTGATGGAAAAATAATAAATCCAGAAAAGATTTTTTACGATGAAAAAGTATTACCCGATTTTAGAATAGACTGTCAAGGTGCACTAATTGCACCAGGTTACATAGATTTACAAATTAACGGTATTTTAAGATAATATATTTACATATTTATAATATATGATATCTATTATTTTTATTTTCTTATCACTTCTAGCGTTGTCAATTCTCTCTAAAAAAAAAATTTTAACCTTACAATAATAATTTTTATATAAAATATTACACATATTAATTTTATTCATTCTTAACATGTATTATTAAATAAACGTGGTTAATGTGGTGGTTATAAAATAGAATTGTGTGTACATAAAAATAGCAATGTAAATAGCAAAATAAAAGAATTTTATCAAAACGTCAACAAGAGAAATTTAACAAATTCTACAGATATGTAACATCACACAATATTATTCTGTAAATTATATTCTATAAGATATTTTTATTAATAATTATAAATCTAATTAGTATTTTTTTTGTTTTTAATTAAATAGGTGGTTTTGGTATAGATTTTTCACATAATGTTGAAAACGTTGAAGAAGGTATAAACAAAGTAGCCAAAAATTTATTAGCACATGGTGTTACATCATTTTGTCCTACATTAGTTACATCTCCTAGTGATACGTATTATAAAGTACTACCTAAGATTAAAAAACAAAACGGTGGTAGTCACGGAGCAACCGTTTTAGGTGTTCATTTAGAAGGTCCTTTTATAAGCATTCATAAAAAAGGTGCTCACCCTGAACAATGTATTAAAGAGTTCGATTCTGTGAGTTATTTAATTAATCTGATAATCTTTAGAAACATTAGATTTATTTGTTAAATAATTATTATATTACAGGATTTTAAATCATTGACTGATATGTATGGTACTTTGGAAAACGTTTGTCTTATTACGTTGGCACCTGAAATTCATTCTGCGCCGTCTGTTATTAAAGAATTATGCAAAAGAAATATTAAAGTTTCTGTAGGTAAGTTTATCGAAATATATTTGACGCTATTTACATTTCCTTACGTTGCTTATACTTCCGATTTTTTTTATTTATTTTAGTGCTATTGATATTATTATTGTAGGACATTCTATTGCCAGTTTAGAAGTGGGGGAAATAGCAGTAAATAGTGGGGCCACGTTCATTACACATCTTTTCAACGCTATGTTGCCGGTAAATATAATATATAATAACTGTATAATGTAATATTATTAATAAACTATTTCACTTGATATCTTATAGTTCCATCATCGTGATCCAGGACTAGTTGGTTTATTGACATCTGATAAAATACCACCAGGAAAGATTGTTCATTTTGGTATCATAGCTGATGGGGTGCATACTCATCCTGCAGCATTAAGAATTGCACATAGAACGCATCCTAAAGGTTGATAAATATTTATATGTATATATTATTTTAATTTTTATTTTACTATTATAATATATTAAATTAATCACACACACACATATTACAATTAAAGGACTCGTTCTTGTAACGGATGCAATATCAGCATTGGGTTTGGAAGAAGGTGTACATCGACTAGGTCAGTTTGATATAGAAGTACGTAAAGGACAGGCCTATATCACTGGCACCAATACTCTTTGTGGCAGTATAACTGAAATGTCTGAATGTATACGTATTTTTAAGGAAGCAACAGGTAAATATAATATTTCTTAACAAACAAATAGCATCATTAAATTCGTAGATAAATTAATTTTTACAATGATTTAAATGTAGGCTGCTCTATAGTTGAAGCCTTAGAAGCTGCAACCTTGCATCCAGCAAGAACATTGAACATTGAATCTAAAAAAGGTGTATTAAATTTTGATGCTGATGCTGATTTTGTTTTATTAGATGATAATCTTCAAATCTTATCTACATGGATATCGGGAGATTGTGTTTATACTAAATGCAAGTATACTTAGCAATCTTTATGAACTATATTTTAACGTTTTGACAAAGTAAGAATATTGAAACAAACAATATTTTAAATTTTACATAATATCTTATTATATTATTTAATGGCTTTAGATTTTATGCCAATTATTTTAAACAAGATGTACTTATTCATTATTTAATTGTATTTTATATATTTTATATATATAACTTTTATATATTTTAATATCAAATCTTGTTAAATCTAATGTTTTAGTATTATATTGCTGTGCAATTTATATTTAAAAAAAAATAACGCAAGTGATGTAGTTATTTGCAATTTATTGTATAATATTTGATTTTTAAAACAGTATTTATATATTGCATTCATGATGTTGATAATTGGTTAATTTTAAATTGATATATATATATATTGTTTGTATAAAGCATATGTGAGCATGTTAATGTATAAAAACACATATAATATATTTTTATAATTTGGTAAAGTTAGACTGAAGTACTTTTTATACGAAAATTATTCTGTAATTCATGAAACATGTGAAGATAATATATATGTGTAATAAAATTATTTTTATAGTTTAAGAACAAGATAATATATGCATCGTTTGAATTATAATTAATAAACCATATCTTTCAAGTTGCAAATATAAGGTGAATGTCTAATACCGAATGTATGAGCCGGAGGAACATCTAGAAGAACCTAAAATAATATTATATATATTATTACTATCTTTAAATTACCCTTTTTAATATAGGTTTTTGTATAAACGATATTATCATTCTTTATATAAAATATTTATTTACCTTTTCTGGACAATGTGCGCCAGGACCGGGAATTTTGGAATGATCACTTGGTACCTCAAATCGTGCGCTTATACTATAAGCTGGACTTTTGACTCTAACTGCATCTGGCTTTATAGTTTCATATGTACCAGGACCGGGGACTAAAATTCTTTCATCGGCGAAAGTCTTTTGTCTACCAGAAATTGAATATGCTGGTGATGTTTTTTTATTTCCTTCTTTCGTTGCACCGAGGGCAGAAGGTATGTTATATACGTTAGGTGCTATGAGTAAAAGAATACAAATGATATGTAACATTAGTTAATAATAATAACAAATTAACGTACAAGAAATTCCAAGAAAATAAATAAAGATAACTTGTATATCAGAATCGACTTATGCTTATCGTTATCGTATATTATTTATTATATTTCATTTATTTAATATATTTTACGTGAGATTAATATCATATTTTTATTTTACGATTCATTACTCTACTCTATTATTTTTTAAAGCAATGACTACCAAGTGCAAATACATAATGCATGCTATAACTAAATGTGATATACAACACTTACACGCCTTTGTTAATCTAAACAAATTAGATAATACAGAGATATTTCTAATTACCTGGAGTATCATTTAATCTGCTCATTGGAGGTCTAAGACCAAAAGTGAATTGTAGAGCTTTTTCAAGCAAAAACATGGCTTTTTCTGGACTGTATTCACCAGGTCCTTCAAATAAATATATTAGGCCAAAAGTCTATATTTCTACTGACTACTTTTTAAATATATTTTTACTTACCTGGAATTGTATATGTTTGACGTATATCAGGTTTTAATCCAAAACTATATTGTGGAGATTTATTTAAATTTACCTTTTCAGGATTATATGTGCCAGGTGCTAAATAAAAAGTGTGAATAATATAATCAATTTGTAGATAAATGAAATTCTAATTTTCAAATCCTTTAATGGAATTCATTATTAATTAGATTTTTAATAACATTGATTACAATGAAAATTATAAATTATTATTACTGAATAGATTTGTTCTCACCTGGTATATCATTAGGCTTTTCAAGAGGTGGTCTTATACCAAAACTAAATTGAGGAGCTTTGTCTAATTGCGATTTTTCTGGGCAATAAGTTCCAGGTGCTGTAAAATATGAAAGAAATCAAATTATTTCAGTGTATTTTAGAAAATTATTTTAAAACATTTTACATAGAAACATAAAAATCTAACATTACATTAGTAACAAATAAATAGAATTAAATTCAATTAACAATTCTTAATTTTTGATATTCAACAAGTCAATATACAATAACACATTTTTTAAACATAACTTTATAGCAAATTTGTTGAACAGAAATTTTCTATTACTATCAGCATTAAATATTTCCTAGTCAAACACTTACGTTTTAGTGTCAAATACAGTGAATAAAGCATTTTGCATTACATTTAAAATTATATATGATTGACGATGAGATGAAACAAAGTAACTTTTTGAATATGTGCCCCTGAAGATAGACTATATTTTCTACAACTCTGTATAAGACATAGCATACCTACATATATGCGTAATGACTTTCACTTTCCATTTGAATTAATATCAAATCATAGTTTCATCTTAATTTCCATAAAAAATGTTAAGAAAAAAAAGGATATGATATTTTTGTAGAATGAAGGTTGAAAAATTATAAGCCCACATATAATTTAATAATTAGTAGATAATTATTTGTTACATAGTTAAAAAATTATTTCATATAAATTTTGAATACAGAATCAGAGGGTGGTCTTTTTTTTTGTTTAAATAATTTGGAAGCATTAAAGCAATTGGTTAATCCACACCGTTACCTGGTGTATCTTTAGGTTTATCCAAAGGTGTTCTACTACCAAAACAGAAATAAGGTTTATGTTGAAGGTTTACTTTCTCTGGACGGTAATCTGCAGGGCCTATTAAGTCAATGAAGATATTCAATATTTTCTTTTAATTAAGGTGTTAATTCCGTCATAGTTAATCGAGGAAAAAAAAGAGATAAAAAGGATAAATATCATTAAGAAATATAATTACCAGGATTATCATTCAATTTTGGAGTCATTCCTTTTCCGGAGATACTAAATTGTGGTCCTTTGTCTAAATTTACTTTTTCTGGGCTATATGTTCCTGGTGCTATATGTGTGCATATGGTAAAGAAAAATTATTAATACATAAAATATACAGAGCCCACTTCTGCATATAAAAATATAAAATATACTAACCAGGGAAATCATTTGGTTTTTCTGATAAACCTTTTCCACTTAAACTGTATTCAGGACCTTTATTCAAGTTGAATTTCTCAGGAGCGTAAGTTCCAGGAGCTATAAATAATGTGAATAAAATATAACATTAATAAAATTCATTTGTATAATTTTATAATATTTTTATGATATACCAGGTGTGTCATTCGGTTTTTCCAATGAAGTTCTTAAACCAAAACTATATTGTGGTGCTTTGTTTAATTTAACTTTTTCCGGAGAATAAGTGCCGGGAGCTGCGTAACAATAAATATATGTTTTGTATAAAAAATTATTTATAATTAAATATACATCATTTGTATAATTTGTTTGAAATACCTGGAGTATTATCAATTTTGTCAGACGGACCTTTGCCACTCAAACTATATTGTGGCCCTTTATCCAAGTTTATCTTTTCAGGACTATAAGTGCCAGGTGCTACAAGATTAAATAAAAAACTTTCAAGTTAAAATAAATCTAGAAAAAAATCACAGCATAGTTACCTGGTGTATCGCTAATTTTATCGAGAGATGTACGTAATCCGAAACTAAATTGAGGAGAATGATCTAATTTAGCTTTTTCAGGACAGTATGTACCTGGTGCTATAAAAATATTGTTCTCATTTTATTACAATCATTATAATCATCATGAATTGTAACTTTCTTTCAAATATTTAAATGTTAACATACCTGGAACATCATTAGGTTTATCACTAGGACCTTTGCCGGTTAAACTATACTGAGGACCTTTATCCAAATTAAATTTTTCTGGACTGTATGTACCTGGCGCTAAACACATTGAATTAATATATTACGGTATTTACATTAAATATACGTGTATATATTGTGTTTTATAATTTGATTATAAAATTCTACCTGGTGTGTCACTAATCTTATCTAATGGTGTTCTAATACCGAAACTAAATTGTGGAGTAGAATCCAGCTTAACATTTTCAGGGCGATAAGTACCAGGTGCTATAAATATTTATATTAAAAGTTAATAAAAATTTGATCAGAGTATAATAATAAGGAATTATAATCTACCTGGAGTATCGACCGGTTTTTCTTCGTGACCCTTTCCAGTTAAACTGTATCGAGGACTTTTAGATAAATTCACTTTTTCTGGACTGTACGTTCCTGGAGCTATCAACAAACAAAAATTAATATTATTAAGATATTGTTTAATTAATTTAGTTGTATATTTTACCTGGTGTATCGTTCAATTTATCGAGCGAAGTTCTCAATCCAAAACTGTATTGAGGTGAGTGATTCAATTTGACTCTTTCGGGATAATAGGCACCAGGTGCTGAGAATATTCAAATTCAATTTTATTTTAATACCAATATTTATTTCATTCGATATTTTTTTCCCAGCTAAATATTAATTTTTTTATATTATTATTACTTTTTTTATTGTCATTAATCAAATGATACTTTTATAATGACTTTCTATACAACATATTATGATAACTTTTCGAATAATTATATCATCTAAATAAAAAGCAATTTGTCTAATTTTACAGTCAATCGAATGCATCTACGTGTGACAAACGTGCACCAAAAATCAGTTAATTAGTATAATATAAAAGCAAAAAAGTGCGAAGCTATATTTTTACTATTAATGCGAAATAGTCATAATACACGTTAATTAATCTGATCTGTTTATAAATAGATTAAAATCCAATACCTATCCGTTAAATGTTTTTGCCCGTCTTTTCAAATTTTGATATCGATGATCATGGATGCTGTGTAACGTCGTAAAGATATTTTTTTGTTTTGTTATTTTTATTTAAATGTAGAATCATCCTAAGTAAAAGCATAAATTAAATTTGTTAATTGTACCCTGAAATGTACTTAGAGTTTATATAGTAATTAAGAAAATTTTTATATGTATGTGTAAAATTTCAAATCGACCTAATTAAACAAATTTGGTAATAAACAAGATTGGTATTAGTACGAAATTGTTTGTTAAATTGATTGCATGTAATTTTATCAAAGCAAATTTATAGAACTATTAGATTGTATCTTGCAATTGTAAATAATTATATTAGTTGTTGATTAATAATTGTTCTTTGCAATTTGTTTCATGCGTAGATGTATATAATTTACCAGGAACGTCACTCGGTTTATCCAGAACAGGTCTTATGCCAAAACTGTACTCTGGAGCTTTGTCGAGATTCACGTTTTCGGTACAATAATCACTTGGTGCTAAGATGACTCAGAGAGATATACGTAATTACGATATGTACGTCGATCAAATTTGTTTATATACATATATTACATATTTATATATTAAATTCTATTCGCATAAGTCGATTCTCGTTTCAATTAAAAATATAATAAATGAATTTATTAAAAAAAAACAACAAATAATTCTTACAAGTTGTCAATAATTTTGTCGATTCGAACGTAAAAAAAAAAAACCAAGAAATATACCTATTTTAATTGCTTACCGGGTGTACAACTGATCTTCTCAGTTTGGGTTCTAATTCCAAACGAATATTTCGGTGAATTATCCAAAATAACTTTTCCAGCTTTTTCCGGATTGTAATCACCTGGTGCTGGAGTTATTTCAAATTTCGATGATTTGGTACGACCATGCAATGATGAAGCAGGTGCACCATCTTTACCTATAAATCCGGATATCTATATATATGTATAATTGAGGAATTTTCGCGAAAGTTCGTTTTCAAGATGAAGGGAGTACCATTGTTACGGAATGTTACTAACTCCGTAGTTTGATCGATAAACTAACCGAGACATTCCGTGTGTCTTTTTGCTCGTATAAAACATTGATTTCGTGAACTACTTATTTAGATATATAATTATTTTACGTTCTATTTTGCATATGGAATTTTTTATTATATTATTTATTAACGATATACATCATACCTTTTGCACTAAGACCGGATACGTTGTATTGGCCAGGTCCTGGACCAGGACTATCATTTCTAGCTACGTGTCTGAATAATTTATAGAAAATTCAAACAGCTTATTATATTCTTTTTATATATTTTATAGAAATTATAAATATAGAAAACAAATTAATACCTGCTTCCAAAAGAAAATGCAGGTGCTCTTCCTCGTTTCGAATCCGGTACAGTTTTTCCTAAATATACATTAAATAAATAAAAAAATAAAACTACCATTAATAATAAGTTCTAGTTTGAAGAATAATCGGTCTATTATTATGTGAATCATTTCCCATATCGTGTTATCAACAATACAATCATTAAAAATCCTTTCTTTCCGTTATACTAAAATACACAACGTTCTACTTTCTATACCGTTATATAGAAGATCGGCATAGATTTTCTATGCCACACATAAGGAGAAACGAATAAGAACAAATGATTCATATTATGTTAACGAAGCTGTTCTCCGTATTTATATACTTGTTTTTCTTTTTCTTTTAATCAAACATACCGATAAGTGGTGGTAAAGTAACACAAGCAGGTCCAGGACTATTGTATTCAGCAGCAATGGGGCCTCTTCTTTTTGTAGGTGTCCATGGCCTTTGCGTTAATCCTCCCATTTTGTCACAAATTTCCTTCAAAATTTTAGTTCCAAAATATTATTGGATATATATTATATATAATATTATATATAGATAAATATAATATAATATTACATATATATATATATATATGTAAAATTATGATTTTTCTCTTGACGAGCAAATATAAAATGATAATACTTTGATGACAAAAATAATATGTATAATAATAATAATAATAATTAATAAAATTATTAATTATATTAATTATTCTAATTATATAATATAATATATTATTATATTAATAATTAATATAATATGAATATGCAATAATTAATAAAATTAAAGTAATACCACTCTATTTTATGTATCTCTCTATGTTAATTATAGTAATTATAGTAAATCCATGATAAATCAATATAACTAAAGTGTCCTTAAAATAAATATTTTTTCCAATTGTAATATAGAAAAAAACAACGAGATGTTCATTAAATGTGATCGGGAATTGCGTAATGATGACGACCTCGAAACTCTGGTCACAGAAACAAGACTCATGACAAACCATATAAGAACATGCCCATGGAGGGTATTCACAATCGCCCACCTCATATGTTCTTGCTAAAGACCCATATCACGAATTGCAAGGTATCGGTGGTGATTGTCCAAATAAATGCAGGTCAAAAATGACTCATACTTAACTTATAAGGATATATTGTCATCAATGAAAAGGATAACAACATCTTATATTTAAATAGGTAATGTAAATAGCGTTAGCAATATCTTATTTTACAATCGAATTGTTTTATTCATTATTATTATTATTTATTCATTCACGGTAACTTTATTTTATCCGGAATTACCGTGGTTGAACATATTCAAATACAAACACAATAATAGCTTTTGTATTTTTATGGTAATTTATTTGAAGGATATGGTACGATGGATCTTTACGTTGTTAGTAGTGCATGTTAATATGAATAATGAAAGTGACAAAGTAGTGTTCGAATACATTATTGATAAATCATCTTTATGCATCTAGCGTGTGTGTGTTAATATTACTTTAATTAAACATTTATATGTATATAGTAAATACACGTAAGTAAATAGGATTATCATTTGCATAGAAGTTTATTAATTAATTATATCAATATTATCTTGTTGTAATATTAAAAATTACATAGAAATCTTAGATTAGTCATTAATCCTTGCATTGCCATATGTCGAATATATAAAAATATAAATATGTATGTATGTATGTATGTGTGTGTGTGTGTATAAATGTTGAATCTCATTATCCAAATATAGAAATGAAAGCACAGATGTAAAATATCGACGTTTCTATGGACCCAACATGACCAAATTGAGTATGAAATATTTAACAGGAAGTATTATAAATATTCTTTCACAAAAAAATCAATGATATCTACTTTACATACAATATATTTTCTTGTATTTCATTTTAATATCGAAGTATATTATATATATATTAGGGTGGGTCAAAAAAATGACTTGTTTTTTTTTTTTCAAGTGCCACGGAAAAATGGGTTACTAGACACCTTAAAACAATTCTCACCAAATATGAGCTCTTAATTTTAATAGGAAGATCCTCCGTATCGCAGTTTTTTATTTTTTTTTCAGTCCAATAGATTAAAATTCATTCCTCATTATTTATTGATTGTACAGAAAAATGTTCTAGACGAATTTTGTAGGAAATTTAATGCTCTACAAAAAAGGTATCTTATATTTTTTCCGTAAACTTCATTTAAGATTTAAATTTGATGATTTTAAGACAAATTTCATTTTTTTGTTGTGACTTTTATAACTCGACAATAAATGACTATTATAAAATGCGCAATACAAATTTTTGTAGGAAATTAACTGCTCTATAAAAATGGTATCTTATGTTTTGGCGATTAAATTAAGCGTTCAAAAGATATTCATCATCAAACTTTCATGTGTACTGATTTTTGTCTCTGAATATCTTTTGAACGCTTAATTTAATCGCCAAAACATAAGACACCATTTTTATAGAGCAGTTAATTTCCTACAAACATTTGTATTGTGCGCTTCTTAATAGTCATTTATATATATATATATATATATTTTTTTTTTAATATTCGTTGTGATTAGATTTCCAATTGTAATCATTAATTCGTTAAATATCAAAACGACATCGATAAATTATCTTAGTTAGTGACATAATCTTTAATCATGCTTATACGTACGAGAATACACACACACTGTTAAATGCGCATCATCCTTTACCACCTATGGCATAATTATATATAAAGTCAGCATTTCAAAATATCTCTGACGATAACCGAACACCTTTATGCTATTATTATTTCGATCTTTTTTTACGATTACAAAAATTATGGTAAAACAACGATCTTTCATTGATTTATTTGACAATTAAAACTACTAAATGATTTTATAATTTGAATTGTAAATTTAGATCTGTAGAAGTTTATATAAATCATAATTATAATACTATAGATCACAAAAAGCAATGAAAATCTTTCTGATAAGTTAAAACAACTAAAAGATTTTACAATTTGAATTGTAAATTTAAATTATGTTTAGAAGTTTATATAAATCATAATTATAATATTATAGATCACTAAAAGAAATAAAAATCTTTCTGATAATTATTCGTAACATGGTAATAATAATAATAAAAAAACTATCAGCAACAAAAAACTATTTAAATCACGTAGAAGTTTTGCAATTCGAATTACGATAATTATAAATTAGTATAATATAAGAAAAAAGAATCTTTTAGATAAATAAAAGTAACTTTAATTTCCCTAAAACTTATCAAATACTTTAGACAATATTTAATATACTTAGAAAAATATATTTATATGATGTAAATATAAAAAAAAAGTAAAATTACTTACCAAGGATTTAAAAAACAGTACGAAGAAATGTAGTGGAAGAAAATGATGTTATTTAATCGGATTGTATACTTTGAATGACAATTATTCGTTGACAGAAAAAAAAAAATGATGAAAATGTGCACCGGTCTCTTAACGAGGATAATCACCACCACTCCTGAGATGCGTCAAGCTACGACTGAAGCGCAAAAGTCTTTCTTAACACGTGTAAACGTATCTCGACATTGCTTCTTCTTTCGTTTCCCTGAATGTTGTTTCCCCTACTCTAATATAAGATGATTACAAATTCTTAACGCAGGCGCCCTTCCCGATCTCACATTCTCTTTATATCTTTATTTTAACCTTCTATATTTTTTATTTAACATTTCTAATTTTTTTATATCTCTAATCTCTATTGCTAAATAAATATAAATATTACCTGCGAAGAGAGTAACATTAAGTTATTCTTAACTTATAACTTATAACACATAATACAGTTATGGTACATGATTTATCATTTACAATAATATATATTATTATTAATAAATATATAATTATTAATAATTATATTATTATTTATTTGTTAAATAATTTCAAATAATTCTTTAACAATTTTGTAATTATTTATTCAAATTCGATCTTCGTACTACTGATTAAAATATGAACAAATTTGAAAAGTTATCAATTACGTTAGATCTAAATACTTTGAGAATAATTATTTTCGAATATAATCAATTTTCAATTCAATTTTCATCAATTTAATATTATATTAAAATTATAATTTTATATCCTAAGAAATGTTGAATTACCTGTCTGATACTTCGTCATCGAATGGCGTGAGTCCCTAATTTTAGCTTTTTGTCCTTAGCAAAGGATAAAGCAAGGCCAAAAATGTCGAGGATAAAAATCAGAATTATTGGGGTGCGTAGGTTGCGAAACAAAGTAACATACATCCAATAAAGGAGCCAACAAGATATTTGAATATGTTTTACGGTATAGTAATCTGTTAAACATGACATATGTATATAAAATACGATTACTGATTATTTATTTCTTTTTTTTTTTTAATCAATACCATAAAAGATTTATTTATAATTACGACGATTCTCGTAGAAGAGAAACAAATGTCCTTGTAGAAAAATCAAGTTTAAAAAATGCGATCAATATTTATATAACTTGATCGTGATTCATTGATTTAAATGATTTTCAATTATAAAAATCTTAGCCACGTAGGTGTACATTATTCATCATAATCGAATTTAAACTTCTTTTTAATTATACTATTTTTCTTTAATATTCATAATCAATTGTGAAATTAAATTTTCTTATTTAGTGATGTTAATACAAGATAAATCACAAATGATCATTGAAATAATAGTTCAACAATTACACTAATTTCTACTATACGTGTACTGAATACATTGAAACAATAACTTCGTAAAAATCTAACGATTTATTAGATGTACAGTTGAAATGTAAACATTTGAAAGTTAATTACTTTATAATATCGTATTCAATTACTGTAATCAAATACCTGTTGCATGGTAATGTTAAAAGAACTGCTGTTCGACCAATATATGACACTTAAGTATGGTGTGTGTGTGTATTTCCCCTCTCTTTTTACGCTGACATCATGATAGAAGAGAACCGGTCAGTAATATTTGTATCGTGATGCCAGTATACTCGAGGAAGTACTAACCACACGAACAATTTATACATCTTCATTTACGGTATGAATTTTATAAACATATAGATATAATATTTACTGTAAATGAACGAATTTATAAATAATTTGCAGCTGCACGTACATACACCAGTTCGTATTGTGTTATTATTACAAGACCTATATTCTTTTAATGTTACAAGTGTTTTCTTTCTTAAATATTATATTTATTTTTATTACAAAATCGAAAACAAACCAGAGTGTGTCAGTGCGAACGGTAATTAAATTATTCTACCGATAATTTTTTTGATATAAAACGATTTGTGTGTTTTATTGTAATATGAAATAATAACCACAGTATAATATAATATGAAATAATACTTAAATTATAATTTATTAAAAATATACATTATGAGTACTAGTACATTGATAATTACATTTGAAATCTAAATGAACGCCAACGACAGGAAATACTCATCCGGATAGTATGATCATCATTTTTGTAAAATTATAATGAACTTTATTATTAAAAATTATATTTTTCAAGATTAATTTTGTAAAAAAAAAATGGTTTTTTAAAAATGTCTACGAAAGAAATATGAGAGTTTGTTATTGTAATGATAAACTTACTCTCTTATACATTCGTCTGAAAATAAATTTGCTTTAATGCTTCAATTGTGTTGAGATGACATCATTGTCAGGGCCGTACTACGATAACACCCACGCTTAATATAAACACTAAAATGTGTGAAGATAATAATTATTTACATAATTATTTTGCATTTATAATTACAGAAAGTGTTTCCGAGTTTATTATCTTAAAATTAAAATGGATCCGGAAGAAGAGGCATTACAAATGCATTTATTACGCGAACACGATCAACCTGTTGCTGGAATCCAAATTTTGTACAAAGTTTTAATGGAGAGTTTACGAGTAAATGATTTAAGAGCCTTTAAAAATCTTCTTGGACAAAATTCAAAGGGACAGCAATCAATCGTTAACGTCAATTATGTTTATCCAAATCGTTCGGAAGAAACTTTATTAGACGTTGCATGTAAAAATGGGCGTACCGAGTTCGTTAAATTGTTATTAGAAAACGGTGCAAATCCAAATAGAGTCAACGAGGCTCACAATCGTGCACCTATTCATTTTGCTGTTGAAGGCGGACACGTAACAACGTTAAAAGTATTACTAAACAACCGTATGATCAATCCAAACATAGAAGCTGCTCAACAAACGGCACTTCATATAGCTATTAAAAAAAATCATTTAGAATGCATCGAATTGCTTCTCGAGAATGGTGCTAGTCCAAACATACCGAACAATAAAGGTATTACAGCACTTCATTTTGCTGCTATGAAAGGTCAAAGAGATATAGTCACTGCGATACAACAAAAGAGCAAACAATCCCTTGACTTGGATACTTATAAGGATTACAATGGTCAAACGACTCGTCAGGTTTTGGAAAAAAAATTTCCTGACATAGTATTGCCGCCATCAAGAATTGGAGACCTTTCTGTTCACAATCTTCGATATTTTCTCAATGCAAACGACGAAATCAATTTCTTAAGATGTTTAGAAAAATTTGATTACAATGTTTTAATTAATGATATCGATGAGTTATTAGAAATGGCGGTCGAACGTAATTTTGATAAAATTGTTAAGGAATTACTTGACAGAATGCAAGGACATACGTGTGATCTAACGAAAGCAGCTATTATAGCCATACAGCAAGCCAATTGCGATATTTTACGTGAATTATTAAAACAAGATAGCGAACTTGCTAATGAACTTATTATTGATGCTTGCTTAGAACTTGGAATGCCTGAAAAACAACGATCGGTCGGGACTGATCGGCTGAAATGTTTGAAATTGATTCTTGATCAAGATAATGTTGATGTCCGTTGTACAGACAGTAAGTATATCATTGAAATGGCATAAATGTTTTTGAAGATCGTTGATAGTGATATTGGTATAATATAATAAATATTTGTATTATTTAGATAAAGGGAATACACCGTTGCATTATGCAGCAAGAGCAGGTTCTCGCGAAGCAGTGAGTTGGTTATTAGAAAAGGGAAGTTACATAGGACATATGAATAAATTCAACGTACCACCGATTGCTGACATTCCGTTAAACACCTTGGCTGAATATTTCGACGATTGCCTTCAAACAAGAAAAGAACGTACGAACGAATATACGATTGAATTTAATTATCGATGTTTAATGCCACACGATACGCGATACTCTTATACACGAGACTGCAATAAGAAACATTCTTATAATTCAACAAAATATTGTGAGATGGATACTCTTCTATATATGTCTGAAAATAGTGCGTTAAAACATCTTCTAAAACATCCTCTTTTATCTTCATTTTTACATCTTAAATGGTATAGAATACGTCACCTTTTCTATCTTAATTTTGCTTTTTATGTGATATTTTATATATTACTCAATACATATATTTTAGGCATGACTTATGATATTAAATTTAATGTGACAGATGCAATACTAAGCGAAACCAATGATAAACAGTTGAAAAATATTGAGCATACCGGATTTCAAAAAAATAATCTGCTATGGGTCATGACAGCCGTAGCACTATTTTTTCTTGCCATTCGAGAAATCATACAATTAGTTTCTTCACCTTGTCACTATATATCTAGTTTAGAAAATTGGTTAGAAATGACTCTGATCATTTTAGGCTCATGTTTGTTAAACGGCGCTGGTCCGGAAGTCGGTGCAGTGGCTATATTAGTATCAGCGTGGGAAGTTGTTATTTTAATTGGACAATATCCAAGAATGTCCACAGGTATCGAGATGTTTAAGACAGTATCATGGAACTTTATGCGTTTCTTATTTCTATATGCTTTTCTTATCTTAGCCTTTGCACTTGCGTTCTTTACTCTCTTCAAGGACGGTGGCGATAAGAACTTTCCCGATCCAGGCCACTCCCTCTTCAAAACTATAATTATGCTTACCGGAGAGTTCGATGCCAATGATATACCGTTCATATCGCATCCAATACTCAGTCGCTTCGTTTTTGTATTATTTGTATTTTTAATCGCAATTGTATTGTTTAATTTGTTAAATGGTTTAGCTGTCAGCGATACTGCTGAAATTCTTGGAAAGGCTGAACTTATTGGTTTGATTTCTAGAATACGTCTTATATCTTACATTGAAAATGTTGCTACAGGCCCATCTTTTCTACATAAATTAGGATGTTTATCTGGCAGAAATTCGTATACGTGTAATCCATTAGGTTTTCTAGTCAAAAGAATTCTTTTGTTTCCTAATTATTTAAAGGATGGAAAACTTGTTGTTAAGCCTCATGATAATTTTGACGTATGTTGTCCCGTTAGTTGTTATGGAAAATGTTTATCATCTAATATTTCTAATACGGATTCACCAACGTTAAGGATAGATTCGTACATTGTTAAAAAAGCTAAAGAAATATTGTTGCGTAAAAGACAGACATCGGAAAATGAAAAAATATTTACTATGTTACAACAAATGGCAGAAAAATTGGCTACGATTAATACAACGTTAAATAC